TAACCGGACATTATTGAGCTTCTCCATTCCTCCGTGGCTTGAGGTACGCTCTAGACAAACGGGTTGTTTCCCATAATGTGCCAATGTTCCGGCTGAACACATCTGTGTGTAATTGAACGTCAGTTTGGCATAGAGGAACTATGTCACTGCCTTATCCGCTGGTTGCCCACATCACATCACCCAGACACAAAATAGTAGCTAATAAAATGGAGATCACTGAGGTTATTTTTAATGAGTGCATTTCACAAGTGGCTAGTTTGCATCAACTACCTTCACTAAAACCAGACTTTTGGTTTCGAATCACAACGTTCTGGCATGTCTGCCTCATAATTTGTTGGGAGAGTTGAAGAGGACCCTCCCAGGAACAATTTGATTTCCCTTTTCGAAGTTACCAAGAGAGTCTAGGGTATGGGTTTATGAGACTACCATCCGCCAATCCAATCCATACAAGACTGACTTTAGATGACTGTCTAGGGCCAGGGTTCCCAAACCTTTTCACTCGAGCCCCCCTTCCAGCATTGGGGAACATCTCGCACCCCACGTCTATTTCTATGGGCACAAACACTGTTTATGACAAACTGTTCACACTCCTCTTGTTGCCAGAGAGAAAATGTTGGATGTTTAAACCTTATTTCCTGCAATTCTACACAGTTTGTCATGTCTAATGTGTATTCATGTGATATTTGAGTGACTCAAACATTACAGCAAAATCTATGGGTAAAAAAAGAACTAGCTAAAAAACGTTAGCTGGCATGGGCTAGTTGAACTGGACATTTCTGTTATAAATAGCTGTCTAAGGTATGCAATGACTGATATGACAAGAAGAAAACTGATGATGCACTACCCAATTTCGAAATTGCACCCTATGCATTCTACTCAAGAGTAAACTGAAAGCCGGACCCGAGCGCCCCCCACCCGCCGACCCCTCCCACAGTTTGGGAACCACTGTTCTAGGGCAACTGCATCCTGAGTGAGAGCCCAAACCAAACCACATACAGTCCTGCTCCTCTATGGAAGTATATTAGTATATCATTCTGTACCCTGCAGTGAAGTAGTTGGAATCCATATTTGCATGTATTTTCTTGAAACCAGGCTACACTGCCTGTTGTTGTCTGATGTCACCTCGTGATTTGACTGGTAAATATGTGTAGCCCTATTAATGACTGGCTAGAGAGCTGCTCTCTACCTTTCTGAGTATTCACTGTTGATGAAAAACATGTTCAATTGCTTTCATTAGCTTATTCTCTCACTGCCCTGAGTTTAAGACAAGGGTTTAGCTATCTTGGAATTAAGAACATTTCCAAGAACCTTTTTGAGGAATAGCAACTTTGCTTAACTTTCATAAGTATATAGTTAAGAAGACATTTCTTCTTAAGGTTTTGTGAATATGGGCCCTGCTCTCTACCCTTCTGAGTATTCACTGTCTCTGCCCTCCTATGTTAAACATAGCCTGGTCTTAGATCTGCTGTTTACTATGGTAATGTTGTATTTGCAAGACGGCACAATCAGTTCTGGGACCAGGCTATGTTAGACCTGGGACTCCCTAAAAACACGCCACTTCGATACAGCTGCGACTTTTCGTTAGGAGAATTAGTGCAGCAGGTTAGGAGAAGGGCTAGGGTTAGCGAAAATGCTACGAAAAGTCATTTGTATCGAAGTGGCGTTTTTTTAGGGAGTCACTATTAGACCCGTTTCCTTTAATCGTTTTGAAACAGCGGCATTTCCTTCAGCACTGTTTCCCCCCTCCTACAGGATCTAGAACATAATACTAAACGGCCTATTCCCCTCTACCCCCCATTAGTATTGGTACATTGGGAGCATTAGGAAAAGAAACCCTGTCAAGTGTAAATACTGATATTTGATCATTTCGTTGAATATTGATCTGGGAAGTTTCCATTGGAACCCAAGTGGTAGTGAGTGTGTCGGATTGTGTGGGTGCATCCACAGAATAGTAAGCTGACCTATACAGGTGTACGCTGCTCAATGATTTGGAAACCAAATAATGTAATGTAAGGAAGCCAACATCACAGGGATGTTTTCATCAAACAGAAGAAGTAGGTACTTAGATGGGGAGAGGAAGTGGATTTGATTATGTTATCTTATGATGTCTAAAACCTTTTACTAATAACTTTCAGAAGCTTTTATAAGTACATACAGAGTCCCCTTTGTCCTGGGTAGGACATAACGCCACAACAATCTTCTGCTTTGGCCACAGCTTGATGATATACTTATACTTAGGATACACTGAGTGTACAAAACATTAGGAACACCTTCCTAATATTGAGTTGCACCCACTTTTGCCCTCAGAACAGCCTCAATTCGTCGGGGCATGGACTCTGCAAGGTGTCGAAAGCGTTCCACAGGGATGCTGGCACATGTTGACTCCAATGCTTCCCGCAGTTGTGTCAAGTTGGGTGGTGAACCATTCTTGATACACACGGGAAACTGTTGGGCGTGAAAAACCCAGCAGCGTTGCAGTTCTTGACACAACCGGTGCGCCTGACACCTACTACCATACCCCATTCAAAGGCACTTCAATATTTTGTCTTGCCCATTCACCCTCTGAATGGCACACTTACACACATACACAATCCATGTATCAATTGTCTCAAGGCTTAAATATCCTTCTTTAACCTGTCTCCTCCCCTTCATCTATACTGATTGAAGTGGATTCAATAAGTGACATCAATAAGGGATCATAGCTTTCACCTGTTTAGTCTTTGTCATGGAAAGAGCAGGTGTTCTTAATGTTTTGTATACTTAAAAGTGCTAGCAACCATTATATTTGCATTTTAGTCATTTAGCAGATGCTCTTATCCAGAGCGAATTACAGTTAGTGCATTCATCTTAAGAGAGCTAGGTGGGACAACCACATGTCTCAGTCATAGTAAGTTCCGGTACATTTTTCCACAATAAAGTAGCTATCAGCAAAGTCAGTGCTAGTACAAAAAAAATGAAGGGGGGGGGGGATTATTTCAGATACTCAAAGGTGCCAGCGACCACTATTTGCTAAAAGAGATTGTGAGGTTGCCTTATGAAATAGGAAGTTGCCAGCTATTGTTTCATCCTCCTAATGTTTAGTGTTACGATTGGGGATAGAGTAAACTGATCCTAGATCTATGGTTAAGGACAACATCAACAGGATATTGCTTCAAGCCTGTCTGTGGTTTCTCAAAGAGAAAGAGAGAGAAGAACGCATACTGAACAAAAATATTAACGCAACATGTAAAGTGTTGGTCCCATGTTTCATGAGCTGAAGTAAAAGATCCCAGAAATGTTCCATACGCACAAAAAGCAATTGGAATGCTGACTGCAGGAATGTCCACCAGAGCTGTTGCCAGAGAATTTAATGTTCATTTCACTACCATAAGCCACCTCCAAAGTCGTTTTAGACAATTTGGCAGTATGTCCAACCGGCCTCACAACCGCAGACCACGTGTTACCACGCCAGCCCAGGACCTCCTCTTCCGGCTTCTTCACCTGCGGGATCGTCTGAGACCAGCCACTCGGACAGCTGATGAAACTGAGGAGTATTTCTGTCTGCAATAAAGCCCTTTTGTGGAGAAAAACTGGGCCTATGCCCTCCCAGGCCCACCTATGGCTGCGCCCCTTCCCAGTCATATGAAATCCATAGATTAAGGCCTAATTTATTTATTTCAATTGACTGATTACCTTATATGAACTGTAACTCAGTAAAATCGTTGAAATTGTTGCATGTTGTGTTTATATTTTTGTTCAGTATAAATACCATTCTCAAGTAGATACCATTTCACCCTAGGAGAAAAAACCCTGAAACACACCATCAACTATACGTACCTTAGTCTGACTAGAAGTCCATCTGGGCAGTTTGACATGGCCATAATGTCTCTAACAGATGAAGCACGCAGAGCATATTTTGCATTTAGAAAGAGCCAGTATAAATTAACCACCAATTAGAATTTGGCATAAATTATTTGACTCTGTCATGACTCCAATCATTCTATATGGCAGCGAAATTTGGGGTCCCCTTTACAATTTAAAATATACATGATGGGATTAAAGCCCCACCAACATTTAACACCTGGAAATGTGTTAAAAATAATAATAAGATAAAATAATTCAAACAAAGGAAGACATTAACAATGTACAGACCATAGAGACAGGACACCATAGAGATATCATGGACGTCAGAGAAGAAAGACTATGTAAGCACTGTGGGTCGGGAATGAGCAGCTCTTCCTACTCCACTGCTGCACATATGACTCAACCAGAGGTATTTATCTCCTGAAATTTGAAGAAAGAATTGCAGGATCTCTTGAACTACCTGTTGAGGAGATGTTTTGGGTGGAGAAAACGTAGAAACAGTTGGTTATGTCCTGGCCTATCATAATATAAGAGAGACAATAGCTTACACCATGTCATGCACACGAGCCCTTGTTGATTTAATTTCTCAATTGTTGTGTGTTTGTTCAATGTTTTGTGTATTATTTTCTGTATAATTGTTTTTGTTGATATATATATATATTATTATTGTTGCTCAAACATATTGTTCATGTGTAATTCCTTATATACATTGCTTTGGCAACAGTGGCAACCACCCATTCATGGCAACAAAGCATTTATTGAATTGAGAGAGAATATGAATATGAATAAAATATTATATAGATAATCTGGCCATTCCTTCAGGCATGATAAGGGGGTGGGGTCAAACACTCAAACAGTACACCAGCCAACGTGCAACATTATCAAATGCCTCTGCCTCATCTAGTTTGCTTTTACATTGCATGTTTGGTGTCAGTACATAAGGATATATTTATGAGGGAGAGAGAGAGTGAGAGCGCGAGAGACAGAGAGAGAGAGAGAGAGGGTCTACGTATATTCATGAGCAGGAAGGGGAAATCTAATTTGTTCCTCTCTCTCTCAAAGTGAATGACCAACGCACTTGTAGTAGGTGATCATATCTGCCTGCAGAGTTAACCAGTGGATATCAGCTCTCCTGTCTATCCTGTGTGTGTACCACCATGCCATCATACACAGTGACGGTGGCTACAGGGAGCCAGTGGTTCGCAGGGACTGATGACTACATATACATCACCCTGGTGGGAACAGAGGGATGCAGTGAGAGGACTTTACTGGACAAACCACTCTACAACGACTTCGAGAGAGGGGCTGTGAGTTGAGTTACAGTGGCTTGTGTGGTTAGGGTTTTGTCTTTCTTTCTCACAGTCAAGAGTTTGTGTTACAGTGAGCTTGAAGGTTTCACAGTGTGTGCATTACTTGAAAGACAGAGGTGATTTTGTTTAGTTTTTTGACAATCATTGGAAATATTGTACCTCTATCAGACTTGAGACTGGAGATTTAAAAACTCTGACTGTGTCATTGTAGAAAGCTTTGATTGTGTTCTCTAGGATGGCTGATTACTAGTTGTGTAGACAATTACATAAACTATATATACAAAAGTACGTGGACACCCCTTCAAATTAGTGGATTCAGCTATTTCAGCCACACCCATTGCTGACAGGTGTATTAAATCGAGCACACCGCCATGCAATCTCCATAGACAAACATTGGCAGTAGAATGTCCCGTACTGAAGAGCTCAGTGACTTTCAAATTTGTGCCCTGGTAGAGCTGCCCCGGTCAACTGTATGTGCTGTTATTGTGAAGTGGAAACATCTAGGAGCAACAACGGCTCAGCCGCAAAGTGGTAGGCCACACAAGCTCACAGAAAGGGACCGCCGAGTGCTGCAGTGCGTAGTGCGTAAAAATCGTCTGTCCTCGGTTGCAACACTCACTACCGAGTTCCAAATTGCCTCTGGAAGCAACATCAGCACAATAAGTCAGGAGCTTCATGAAATGGGTTTCCATGGCCGAGCACCCGCACACAAGCCTAAGATCACCATGTGCAATGCCAAGCGTCGGCTAGAGTGGTGTAAAGCTCGCCGTCATTGGACTCTGGAGCAGTGGAAACGCATTCTCTGGAGTGATGAATCATACTTCACCATCTGGCAGTCCAACGGACAAATCTGGGATTGGCGGATGCCAGGAGAACGCTACCTGCCCCAATGCATAGTGCCAACTGTAAAGTTTGGTGGAGGAGGAATAATAGTCTGGGGCTGTTATTCATGGTCGGGCTAGGTCCCTGAGTTCCAGTGAAGGGAAATCTTAACTGATTGGCTCAAAAGCATTAAGAAGGAAAGAAATTCCACAAATTAACTTTTAAGAAGGCACACCTGTTAATTGAAATGCATTCCAGGTGACTACCTCATGAAGCTGGCTGAGAGAATGCCACGAGTGTGCAAAGCTGTCATAAAGGCAAAGGGTTGCTATTTGAAGAATGACCCCGTGTAGCTCAGTTGGTAGAGCATGGCATTTGCAATGCCAGGGTTGTGGGTTCGATTCCCACGGGGGGCCAGTATGAAAATGTATGCACTCACTAACTGTAAGTCGCTCTGGATAAGAGCGTCTGCTAAATGACAAAAAAAATAGAAAAAAGAACAAAAGAATCTCAAATATAAAATATATGTTGATTTGTTTAACACCTTTTTGGTTACTACATGATTCCATATGTGTTATTTCATAGTTTTGTTTTGATGTCTTCACTATTATTCTACAATGTAGAAAATAGTAAAAATAAAGAAAAACCCTTGAATGAGTAGGTGTGTCCAAGCTTTTGACTGGTACTGTATATATATAATATATTTGTATCTTACTGTTCCCCGGTGTAAGATCTGCCACAGAATGTGTTGCAGGATCATGCCCAGCCCTATGGGAACCTATGTCATCAGGTCCACACTGCAAGCTGAGAAAAGAGGAACCACTCAGTCAGTCAGTTAGGTTACACATAAGCTTGATGAGCTCTATTCTCTTAAATTGTGCTGCAATATGAGTGAAGGGGAGTAACCCATAGAGATGAAGAGACTACAAGACTGTGATAAGCTCCATTTACACAGTGCTATTTACCTGGTTGTCACTTGGGAATACAATGGATTGAATAATATAAAGCATTTGCTAAGGCGCTCAAATCACTTTACATTGTCTTGTAGAAACTTGCCTTATTCACTACACAGTACAGTACTAGATAAAGGGGGTTACACTTGGGTGCAGGGTGAGCCCTAGAGGCTGTTTCTGTGTATGAGGGTGGTCTAACGGAATCAGATTACCAAATTAATTTATCTGTTCTTTCACTCAAAATAACAACATATGTAGACAAACCAATAGCTGATGAGACCTTATGACCTCATGACCTTATGGCCCATACAAACCACTTCAATAAAAAAAGCTTCCCTATCTGATCAAAATTGTCAACTCATTCTGGCATTAAATTCTTCGCCAGTGTCTGAATCTTGTTCACTAGATCCAGCTCTACTCTTTAGTTCAGGATGCAATGGTTGTGTACTTCCTCTATTGCACCAACCGTCAGTGACTCATGAGCTGGTATTAACCTCATGCTGTCTCTATCTGGCTTTGTATCTGGACCCCAGAAAGAGCACCTGGTGCAAAATGAACAGCTATGGGGATCCCAACAAACACAATAAACCCTGTTTGGTATACAGTGCATTCAGAAAGTATTCAGACCCCTTGACTTTTTCCACATTATGTTACATTACAGCCTTATTCTAAAATGTATTAAATTGTTTTTTCCCCTCATCAGTCTGCACAAAATACCCCATAATGACAAAGCAAAAACAGTTTTCTTTGCAAATGTATAAACAATAAAACACTGAAATATCACATTTACATAAGTATTCAGACCCTTTACTCAGTACTTTGTTGAAGCACCTTTGGCAGCGATTACAGCCTCGAATCTTCTTGGGTAGGATGCTACAAGCTTGGCACACCTGTATTTGGGGAGTTTCTCCCATTCTTCTCTACAGATCCTCTCATGCTCTGTCAGGTTGGATGGGGAGTGTCGCTGCACAGCTATTTTTCAGGTTTCTCCAAGGACCATACGTCGGGACTACCGGCCGTGGTGACTCCTTGCTGTCCCCAGTCCGCCTGGCCTTGCTGCTATTCCAGTTTAAACTGTTCTGCCTGCGGTTATGGAACCCCTACCTGTCCCAGACCTGCTGTTTTAAACTCTAATGATCGGCTATGAAAAGCCAACTGAGATTTATTCCTGATTATTATTTGACCATGCTTGTCACTTATGAACATTTTTGAACATCTTGGCATGGTTCTGTTATAATCTCCACCCGGCACAGCCAGAAGAGGACTGGCCACCCCTCATAGCCTGGTTCCTCTCTAGGTTTCTTCCTAGGTTTTGCCTTTCTAGGGAGTTTGTCCTAGCCACCGTGCTTCTACACCTGCATTACTAGCTGTTTGGGGTTTTAGGCTGGGTTTCTGTACAGCACTTCGAGATATTAGCTGATGTAAGAAGGGCTATATAAAATAAAATTGATTGATTGATTGATGTTCGATCGTGTCCGGGCTCTGTCTGGGCCACTCAAGGACATTCAGAGACTTGTCCCGAAGTCACTCCTGCATTGTCATGGCTGTGTGCTTAGGGTCGTTGTCCTGTTGGAAGGTGAACCTTCACCCCATTCTGAGGTCCTGAGCGCTCTGGAGCAGGTTTTCATCAAGGATCTCTCTGTACTTTGCTCCATTTATCTTTCCCTCGATCCTGACTAGTCTCCCAGTCCCTGCCGCTGAAAAACATCCCCACAGCATGATGCTGCCACCACCATGCTTCACCGTAGGGATGGTGCCAGGTTTCCTCCAGACGTGACGCTTGGCATTTAGGCCAAAGAGTTCAATCCTGGTTTCATCAGACAAGAGAATCTTGTTTCTCATGGTCTGAGAGTCTTTAGGTGTCTTTTGGCAAACTCCAAGCAGGCTGTCATGTGCCTTTTACTGAGGAGTGGCTTCCATCTGGCCACTCTACCATAAAGGCCTGATTGGTGGAGTGCTGCAGAGATGGTTGTCCTTCTGGAAGGTTCTCCCATCTCCACAAAGGAACTCTAGAGCTCTGTCAGAGTGACCATCGGGTTCTTCGTCACCTTCCTGACCAAGGCCCTTCTCCCCCGATTGCTCAGTTTGGCCGGGCGGCCAGCTCTAGGAAGAGTCTTGGTGGTTCCAAACTTCTTCAATTTAAGAATGATGGAGGCCGCTGTGTTCTTGGGGACCTTCAATGCTGCAGAAATTTTTTTTGGTACCTTTCCCCAGATCTGTGCCTCGACACAATCCTGTCTCGGATCTCTATGGACAATTCCTTCAACCTCATGGCTTGGTTTTTGCTCTGACATGCACTGTCAACTGTGAGACCTTATATAGACAGGTGTGTTCCTTTCCAAATCATGTCCAATCAATTGAATTTACCACAGGTGGACTCCAATCAAGTTGTAGAAACATCTCAAGGATGATCAATGGAAATAGGACGCACCTGAGCTCAATTTCGAGTCTCATAGCAAAGGGTCTGAATACTTATGTAAATAAGCTATTTCTGTTTTTTATTTTTAATACATTTGTCATTATGGGGTATTGTGTGTAGATTGCTGAGGAAAAATAAATATTTTATCAATGTTAGAATAAGGCTGTAATGTAACAAAATGTGTAAAAGTCAAGGGGTCTGAATACTTTCCGAAGGCACTGTAAGTCATTGATAAAAAACAAAACACTTTACGTAACAATGACAACCTGGTAATGACTATTGTCCGTCCTCAGGTTAGGCTGAATCTGGGTCCAGGAATTGGCCCATTATGTTCACTTTACAGGATGAGAGCAAGCTCAATGTCTCTAAACCTGGTTGTCCGTCCTCAGGTGGACTCGTATGATGTGACGGTGGGGGAGAACCTGGGAGAGATGGAGCTGGTGAAGATAGAGAAGAAGAAGTACTGGGTTCAGGATGACTGGTACTGTAAGTACATCACAGTGAAGACCCCTTCTGGAGACTACATAGAGTTCCCCTGCTTCCGCTGGCTGATAGACGACAAGGAGGTGGTCCTCAGGGATGGCAAAGGTACCTGTCTGTCTGTCTGTCTGTCTGTCTGTCGGTTGGTCGATCACATCTTTCTGTCTGACGGTCTGACTGTTGGTCTGTTTGTCTGTCTCTTTGTCTGTCTGTCTATCGGTCTTTCTGTCTGTCTATCGGTCTGTCGGTCTCTCTCTCTCTCTCTCTGTCTGTCTGTCTGTCTGTCTGTCTGTCTGTCTGTCTGTCTGTCTGTCTGTCTGTCTGTCTGTCTGTCTGTCTCTCTCTCTCTCTCTCTCTCTGTCTGTCTGTCTGTCTGTCTGTCTGTCTGTCTGTCTGTCTGTCTGTCTGTCTGTCTGTCTCTCTCTCTCTCTCTCTCTCTCTGTCTGTCTGTCTGTCTGTCTGTCTGTCTGTCTGTCTGTCTATCGTCTGTCGGTCTGTCTCTCTATCTCTCCCTCTCTCTGTCTGTCTGTCTGTCTCTCTCTCTCTCTCTCTGTCTGTCTGTCTGTCTGTCTGTCTGTCTGTCTGTCTGTCTGTCTGTCTGTCTGTCTATCGGTCTGTCGGTCTGTCTCTCTATCTCTCTCTCTCTCTGTCTGTCTGTATGTCTATCGGTCTGTTGGTCTCTCTGTCAGTCTGTCTCTCTCTCTCTCTCTCTCTGTCTGTCTGTCTGTCTGTCTGTCTGTCTGTCTGTCTGTCTGTCTGTCTGTCTGTCAGTCTGTCGGTCTGTCTCTCTCTCTCTCTCTCTCTCTCCTCTCTCTCTCTCTCTCTCTCTCTCTCTCCTCTCTCTCTCTCTCTCTGTCTGTCTGTATGTCTATCGGTCTGTTGGTCTCTCTGTCTGTCGGTCTGTCGGTCTGTCTGTCAATAAACTGTCCCCACTCTTTATCTTAAGGAACACAGAAGTCAATCTAAAATCATCCTCCTTAAAGTTTTTCTAATTTTTTTAAGCACGGCTGCCAAAGGACGACAAGACCAGACTGGAGAAGCAGCACCGACGTAAAGAGCTGGAGAGCAGACGGAAAACCTACAGGCAAGAGCTGGGTTTATTGTGTAGCACACATCTACATCACAATTATAACATATTGATTATACACCAAGATGCATTAAACAAATACATGTATTCAAAGTATTGAACTAGTCAATGTTTTCTAGTATTCAATGCTCTGACTTTAATATCGTGTAGCCTAACAGTAAAAGACCTGCACACAGTGTTACATACTGTAGTCCTAATTCAGTAGTGCTGCTGAACCTGCTAGTGATTCTGTAATATCCTGCTGTGTATAGATGGAGTGAGTGGCAGCCTGGGTTTCCTATGAGTATAGATTCCAACACACACAAGGAGCTTCCCAGAGACATCCAGTTTGACAGCGAGAAAGGAGTGGACTTCGTTCTTAACTACAGTAAGGCGTAAGTACTGCATCCATATTACAGGTTCAAACCCTGCTACAACTGTATCCCCTCATCACTTTTTACTGTCATCATTTTGCTGCTGCTACTCTGTTCTTTGTTTTACTCCGCATTGATCCTGACGCCTAGTCACTTTACCCTGCCTTCATGTACATATCTACCACAAATACCTTATTATTATCTATCCTGATGCCTAGTCACTTTACCCTGCCTTCATGTACATATCTACCTCAAATACCTTATTATTATCTATCCTGATGCCTAGTCACTTTACCCTGCCTTCATGTACATATCTACCTCAAATACCTTATTATTATCTATCCTGATGCCTAGTCACTTTACCCTGCCTTCATGTACATATCTACCTCAAATATCTTATTATTATCTATCCTGATGCCTAGTCACTTTACCCTGCCTTCATGTACACATCTACCTCAAATACCTCTTACCTCTGCACATTGATCTGGTACTGGTACTCCTTGTATATAGCTCCACATTGATCTGGTACTGGTAGTCCCTGTTTATAGCTCCACATTGATCTGGTACTGGTACTCCCTGTATATAGCTCCCTTCTTGTGTATTTTATTTTATTCCTCTTGTGTTACTATTTTATTGTATTATTTTTTAACTCTGCATCGTTGGGAAGGGCTCGTAAGCAAGTATTTCACGGTAAAGTGTACACCAGTTGTATTCAGCGCATGTGACAAATAACATTTGATTTGATTTGATTTACAACATTGTCCAGCCAGTCTTACACTCAATTTAATTTGTACTCTCCACAGTGCTAAACCTATAGTAGACCTCTTTCCAATGTGGAGATTTACACTCGGTTTAATTTGTACTCTCTACGGTGCTTAACCTACAGTAGACCTCTTTCCAATGTGGAGATTTCCATGTAAAAGACCCATGCTTGTCATAATAGGGGATTTTCAGTTTATTGGGGTCAATATTTGTTTATTGCATTGACTGTATGCTCTAAATGTCCGGTTGTCCAGGATGGAGCTGTCATCTAGTGAGGTGTTCCTCAGAATGTTTTTTTGTTGTTGTTCTCAAAGGGACTTCCTTGTTTGAATAAAGGCTAAATGGGAAATAGAAATCATCTGTTGGCTCAGTAGCTGGGTGGGTGGTGAGTAGTATGTGGATGTGACTAAAAGGTAACCTGTTTTAAAGCTCTGTATGAAAGCCTGTGGAACTGGAGAGTTATTTTATGAGTAACCAGGGACATTTGCATGTATCCTACACATCACCAGGCCTAAACACAAACACATATTGTGTCAAGGAGACAAATACTTTGGTCCATACCTATCAGCGTACTGTATGCTTTTAATATACATTAAGAAATGAGGAAATAAGGAGAATATGGGTGATGATGAGGTCCAACTTTCCTTTGATTGCTTAGGAGGGATAACAACCTTGGAAACGGGTTGTGTGTCTTTGCTCTATAGTTCCTCTGTGTGGTTCTCTGTAGCTCAGTTAGTAGAGCAAGTTGCTTATAATGCGAGGATAGTGGGTTCGATTCCCGGGATCACCCATATGTAAAATGTAAACACACATGACTGTAAGTCGCTTTGGATAAAAGCGTCTACTAGATGGCTTATACAATGAGTGTAGAAAACATTAAAGACACCTGCTCTTTCCATGACATAGCATTCAACTCGTCAGTCTATGATCACTTATTGATGTCACTTGTTAAATCCACTTAAATCAGTGTAGATGATGGGGAGGAGACAGGTTACATGTAAATAATGATTGTTAAGCTTTGAGACAATTAAGACATGGATTGTGTATGCGTGCCATTCAGAGGCTTTCTACACCTTATAGAGTCTTAGAGGAAGTGGCTGGTGTTAGCAGGATGCCGTGTATTTATAGTCCTGAAAAGTGTTGGTGTCACCATGACTAACTGTGTTGCTACTGTATACTGTGGCTTGTTTGTGCAGCTGAATTATTTGTGCAGCTTAATTATTTGTGCAGCTGACTTATTTGTGCAGCTGAATTATTTGTGCAGCTGACTTATTTGTGCAGCTAAATTATTTGTGCAGCTGAATTATTTGAGCAGCTGACTTATTTGTGCAGCTGAATTATTTGAGCAGCTGACTTATTTGTGCAGCTGAATTATTTGTGCAGCTGATTTATCTGTGCAGCTGAATTATTTGTGCAGCTAAATTATTTGTGCAGCTGATTTATTTGTGCAGCTGATTTATTTGTGCAGCTGAATTATTTGTGCAGCTGAATTATTTGAGCAGCTGACTTATTTGTGCAGCTGAATTATTTGTGCAGCTGATTTATCTGTGCAGCTGAATTATTTGTGCAGCTAAATTATTTGTGCAGCTGATTTATTTGTGCAGCTGATTTATTTGTGCAGCTGAATTATTTGTGCAGCTGATTTATTTGTGCAGCTGATTTATTTGTGCAGCTGAATTATTTGTGCAGCTGAATTTGCATTGATAACGTTATCTGCAGAGGGCACAGGGTACAAAGGACTACATGCAGTACGTTATGCTATTAAGACATTGCACAATGCTTGATGTAGCTTTACCAGACTGGTGATGGATATAATTAGATTCAGAGCATGATGACTGACGTACATTGACAGTACCAATGTACCAATGACTAGTAAACATTACTCACCAGGAGGTGAGTAGCAGCATCCTCGGTATCCCAAATGTTGTTGCCAAAGTACTGCACACATATGTGCAACCATATAGCAACCAACGCTGCTAACGGTCTAAAATAAGGTGGATAAGTGTGTAAAGAATGTGTACATAGCTACATCATCAACTCCTGGTTGTCAGTAAGTCAGTGAGTGACATTTCCTGAATTGTCTTGTTTGTTGATCACATTGAAATTGGAAGAAAATAACTCAACATAATCTTAGCTTCGTTCGACCATCCTGACCATCCTGATTACATTCTGTTTCTCTACATGGTCAGGAGGGTGGATTAGGAGTTAGACATCTTTCCCTGCATCTACATGATGTTGTTCTCTCCTCCCCAGCATAGAGAACCTGTGTGTGAAACCAGTTTCATTCCAAAGTTGTTTCCAGTTCCTCCTGGAATGACTTTCTGTTTGCCCTCTTCAGACAGCAACCCTCTCAGGTGTGTGGACCTCTGTTTTCCCTCATAGGGAATTTCCTGTCAGGATCAAAAACACCATCTCAGGGTTTATCTGCTTTTCTCATATGGTTTCCCTCTGTAAGCCGCTCCTCCTCCTCCTCTACTGCTCTTCCTCTCATCTCTACTATCCTCTCTCCTCAGTCTCCTACAGAGCTGCCTGATCGCACCCGACCCAATCAACGAATCTCAGCCCCACTGACGACCGACGACTAGACTGTAACACTCAGTCATGGACTCCGCAGTCTATCGCCCAGAGCTCCGACGAGCCGCATAGTGACTCGTCGAGAGAGGCAGAGAGTAGAGCGTCGTGCAGATGGACGCAAGGACGAGATGGTCCCCAGCTACAGACTCGCCAAAAGTAGTAGCCCAGACTCAAACAGATCCTCCTATCCCCTTATTCACTCCTCTCGTACCCTCTCTTCTCTTCTCATCTCCATACTCTCATCCTACTTCTCATCTTCTCGATGCTCATATCACTAGGTTCTAAGCCACGAAGACGAATCGTCTCACTGAACGAATCTAGACCCTCACGAGATCAGAACCTCGTAGATCCGGAGTAGCGACGCAACCATTACCGACAGAGATGGAGCAGACGAAAGAGCGATTAGGCTGACCAGTACTGACGCGTAACGAGTGAGACCAGAAGTGCCAAGGCAAGAGTCCCGTGCAACACGACAGTGGCGACTGCGAGAGAGAGAGCCGAGGGAGTCAGTAGGACATTTGTGCAGCTATCCTATGCTCACTCATATCCTGCGTGACATTGAACACACATGCATCATGGGCATAGCAGACACAACTGGTTAGCTCCTATCAAGCATTACCCCTTGTATACGTTGTCAGCTGTACTCTACCTACCTATTTGGATGCAGCCGAAGAGACTTACCCCTGCTACCTCTGCAGCTATGGCTGCTTCTATCTGTTGCTGTACATCCACAGTCCGACACACTGCCTCGGCTACCCGTGCTACACGGTGCTAGAAACAATGGCTTGGCAGGATTAACCCTAGCTAGCCATAGTTAGCTGACAGGTTTTGTTAATATTAAGATCGCTTCTGCAGGCTGCTCCTGATGTGTACAAACAGCCGAGCAGATCCGCTCGCCATAAGGTGGCAGTGCTTAGAAAACACTATGGCAGTTGGCTAGTGTAACCCTAGCCATTAGCCAAATAGTTCAGCTGAACAACTGTTTGTGTCATAATAGTGTAAAGTCATTTGGTCAATTGTTATAATGGTCGTTGCACGAAATGAGGGCTTTTGTGTCCCTTTGATATCTTAAGTAGAAATTGTGCACCAATATTGCATAAAAATAAATACAAAAAGTGAATAAAAGTTTGCTAAAGGTGAGCTTGTTCTACTGTTTTTGTAAATTTTCTGGTGTTTTGTGGTGGAAAACTGAGTGGGTCGATCATAACACGGCAACCCGTTACCCATAGATAGACAGGCTAGAAATGATTGAACAATTTCATTTTTTGGGTGAAGCTTGCATTCAATTGCTACTTCCTGTTGCACACAACAAAAGGGGATTTATGGCTACTTAAGAACAAATCGTCAACCCTGTTACGGTCAACCCTGTTACTTTATTTGGCACTTAATAGGCACTTACTGTAGGATTTTCTATTTTTTATTTAACCTCTTGAGATGGGAAAATGTGTTTTAATCAAGTTGAACATGTGCTCTTTATGACAGAATGTTCAAATTAGGTGAAGTCAAAAGTTCATTACACTTCTCAAAAGGCACCGAATTGGTGGAACGACCCATAAGTTGACATCACGTTTCTTCACCATTTAATAAAACATACCCCTCCTCTCCTCCTGCCATGTTCCTCCTCTTCCTCTCTCTCTTCCTCCTCTCCTCCTCCTCCTCCTCCTCCCCTCCTCCTCCTCATTCTACTCCTCCACCTCCTCCTCTGTATCTCCCAGCTGGGTCAGAGTCCAGGGGAGGACAACCCTATCTTCCTGCCCAGTGATGGTCAGTATGACTGGATGCTAGCTAAGATCTGGGTCCGCTCCTCTGACTTCCACATCCACCAGACAGTCACCCACCTGCTGAGGACTCACCTGGTCTCGGAGGTGTTTGGAGTGGCCATGTTCAGACAGCTGCCTTCTGTACACCCCGCATATAAGGTACACCAACTACACTTCAGTCTGTGCCTGAGTTTTGTTCCTGCTCATGTGACTGATTCGATGATTGATTGATAGGTTGATTCATTGATTCATGGATTGGTTAGTTAGATGATTGGTTGATTTATTTATGTATTGATTGATTGATCGATTGGTTGACTGACTGACTGACTGACTGATGGTCTGTCCTCCTCTAGTTGCTCCTTCCTCACGTTCGTTTCACCATCGCCATCAACACCAAGGCCAGAGAGCAACTCATCTGTGAGTTTGGCATCTTCGATAAGGTGAGAGCTTGTGTGTGTGTTTGACAGAGCGAGCGAGAGAGACAGAGCCATAGACAGAGCCAGTTAATGTGTCTGTCTCTCCACAGGCCAACGGGACAGTTAATGTGTCTGTCTCTCCACAGGCCAATGGGACAGTTAATGTGTCTGTCTCTCCACAGGCCAACGGGACAGTTAATGTGTCTGTCTCTTCACAGGCCAACGGGACAGTTAATGTGTCTGTCTCTTCACAGGCCAACGGGACAGTTAATGTGTCTGTCTCTCCACAGGCCAACGGGACAGTTAATGTGTCTGTCTCTCCACAGGCCAACGGGACAGTTAATGTGTCTGTCTCTTCACAGGCCAACGGGACAGTTAATGTGTCTGTCTCTTCACAGGCCAACGGGACAGTTAATGTGTCTGTCTCTCCACAGGCCAACGGGACAGTTAATGTGTCTGTCTCTTCACAGGCCAACGGGACAGTTAATGTGTCTGTCTCTTCACAGGCCAACGGGACAGTTAATGTGTCTGTCTCTCCACAGGCCAACGGGACAGTTAATGTGTCTGTCTCTCCACAGGCCAACGGGACAGTTAATGTGTCTGTCTCTCCACAGGCCAACGGTACAGATAATGTGTCTGTCTCTCCACAGGCCAACGGTACAGATAATGTGTCTGTCTCTCCACAGGCCAACGGTACAGGAGGTGGAGGTCATGTAGAGATGATCCAGAAGGCCATGAGGCAACTGACCTTCAGATCTCTGTGTTTCCCTGATGCCATTAAGGCCCGCGGGGTGGACAGCCCTGAGGACCTACCCTACTACTACTACAGAGATGACGGGAACAGGGTCTGGGACGCCACCAAGAGGTCAGAGGTCATAGGGGTGTGTGTATGTGGGGGGGGGGGGGGGTCTGTGTGTGTGTGTCCTCCTTGACACAGTATTGAAGGAGGAGTAGAACCAGACCAATCACCAGGAAGAGATGCCATGAAATGGCCATGAGGTGGCTAACCTTAAAGCTAACCCTAACCCTAGCTTCATGTCCACACACCGGCTCAACCCTCACCCTAGCCATAACCATAACCCTAAAGTCCTGGACATTACCATAACCCTAGCTTCATGTCCATATCCCTGATCAACCCTAACCCTAGCTTCATGTCCATATCCCTGATCAACCCTAACCCTAGCTTCATGTCCATATCCCTGATCAATACTAACCCTAGCTTCATGTCCATATCCCTGATCAATACTAACCCTAGCTTCATGTCCATATCCCTGATCAACCCTAACCCTAGCTTCATGTCCATATCCCTGATCAACCCTAACCCTAGCTTCATGTCCATATCCCTGATCAACCCTAACCCTAGCTTCATGTCCACATCCCTGATCAATACTAACCCTAGCTTCATGTCCATATCCCTGATCAACCCTAACCCTAGCTTTCTGTCCACATCCCTGATCAACCCTAACCCTAGCTTCATGTCCATATCCCTGATCAATACTAACCCTAGCTTCATGTCCATATCCCTGATCAACCCTAACCCTAGCTTCATGTCCATATCCCTGATCAATACTAACCCTAGCTTCATGTCCATATCCCTGATCAACCCTAACCCTAGCTTCATGTCCATATCCCTGATCAAAACTAACCCTAGCTTCATGTCCATATCCCTGATCAATACTAACCCTAGCTTCATGTCCATATCCCTGATCAATACTAACCCTAGCTTCATGTCCATATCCCTGATCAACCCTAACCCTAGCTTCATGTCCATATCCCTGATCAATACTAACCCTAGCTTCATGTCCATATCCCTGATCAACCCTAACCCTAGCTTCATGTCCATATCCCTGATCAATACTAACCCTAGCTTCATGTCCATATCCCTGATCAATACTAACCCTAGCTTCATGTCCATATCTTCAGACAGCATTGAGGAGTACACCACATCAGTCACTGGCTTCATCAATAAGTGCATCGATGATGTCGTCCCCACAGTGACCGTACGTACATACCCCAACCAGAAGCCATGGATTACAGGAAACATCCGCACTGAGCTAAAGGGTAGAGCTGCCGCTTTCAAGGAACGGGACTCTAACCCGGACGCTTATAAGAAATCCCGCTATGACCTCCGACGAACCATCAAACAGGCAAAGAGTCAATACAGGTCTAAGATTGAATCATACTACACTGGCTCTGACGCTCGTCGGATGTGGCAGGGCTTGAAAACTATTACAGACTACAAAGGGAAGCACAGCCGCGAGCTGCCCAGTGACACAAGCCTACCAGACGAGCTAAACCACTTCTATGCTCGCTTCGAGGCAAGCAACACTGAAGCATGCATGAGAGCACCAGCTGTTCCGGATGACTATGTGATCACGCTCTCCGTAGCCGATGTGAGTAAGACTTTTAAGCAGGTCAACATTCACAAGGCCGCAGGGCCAGACGGATTACCAGGACGTGTACTCCGAGCATGTGCTGACCAACTGGCAAGTGTCTTCACTGACATTTTCAACATGTCCCTGACTGAGTCTGTAATACCAACATGTTTCAAGCAGACCACCATAGTCCCCGTGCCCAAGGACTCTAAGATAACCTGCCTAAATGACTACCGACCCGTAGCACTGACGTCTGTAGCCATGAAGTGCTTTGAAAGGCTGGTCATGGCTCACATCAACAGCATTATCCCAGAAACCCTAGACCCACTCCAATTTGCATACCGCCCCAACAGATCCACAGATGATGCAATCTCTATCGCACTCCACACTGCCCTTTCCCACCTGGACAAGAGGAACACCTACGTGAGAATGCTATTCATTGACTACAGCTCAGCATTCAACACCATAGTGCCCTCTAAGCTCATCACTAAGCTAAGGATCCTGGGACTAAACACCTCCCTCTGCAACTGGATCCTGGACTTCCTGACGGGCCGCCCCCAGGTGGTAAGGGTAGGTAACAACACATCTGCCACACTGATCCTCAACACGGGGGCCCCTCAGGGGTGCGTGCTCAGTCCCCTCCTGTACGCTCTGTTCACCCATGACTGCATGGCCAGGCACGACTCCAACACCATCATTAAGTTTGCCGACGACACAACAGTGGTAGGCCTGATCACCGACAACGATGAGACAGCCTATAGGGAGGAGGTCAGAGATCTGGCCGTGTGGTGCCAGGACAACAACCTCTCCCTCAACGTGACCAAGACAAAGGAGATGATTGTGGACTACAGGAAAAAAAATAGGACTGAGCACGCCCCCATTCTCATCGACGGGGCTGTAGTGGAACAGGTTGAGAGCTTCAAGTTCCTTGGTGTCCACATCACCAACGAACTATCATGGTCCAAACACACCAAGACAGTCGTGAAGAGGGCACGACAAAGCCTATTCCCCCTCAGGAGACTAAAAAGATTTGGCATGGGTCCTCAGATCCTCAAAAAATTCTACAGCTGCACCATCGAGAGCATCCTGACTGGTTGCATCACCGCCTGGTATGGCAACTGCTTGGCCTCCGACCGCAAGGCACTACAGAGGGTAGTGCGTACGGCCCAGTACATCACTGGGGCAAAGCTTCCTGCCATCCAGGACCTCTATACCAGGCGGGTGTCAGAGGAAGGCCCTCAAAATTGTCAAAGACTCCAGCCACCCTAGTCATAGACTGTTCTCTCTGCTACCGCACGGCAAGCGGTACCGGAGTGCCAAGTCTAGGTCCAAAAGACTTCTCAACAGCTTCTACCCCCCAAGCCATAAGACTCCTGAACAGCTAATCATGGCTACCCGGACTATTTGCACTGCCCCCCCCCACCCCATCCTTTTTACGCTGCTGCTACTCTGTTAAGTATTTATGCATAGTCACTTTAACTCTACCCACATGTACATATTACCTCAACTAGCCGGTGCCCCCGCACATTGACTCTGCAACGGTACCCCCCTGTATATATAGCCTCCCTACTGTCACTTTATTTTACTTCTGCTCTTTTTTTTCTCAACACTTTTTTTTGTTGTTGTTTTATTCTTACTTTTTTTTGTTTAAAATAAATGCACTGTTGGTTAAGGGCTGTAAGTAAGCATTTCACTGTAATGTCTGCACCTGTTGTATTCGGCGCATGTGACCAATAAAATTAGATTAGATTTGATTTGATCCCTGATCAATACTAACCCTAGCTTCATGTCCATAAACCTGATCAATACTAACCCTAGCTTCATGTCCATATCCCTGATCAACCCTAACCCTAGCTTCATGTCCATATCCCTGATCAACCCTAACCCTAGCTTCATGTCCATATCCCTGATCAACCCTAACCCTAGCTTCATGTCCATATCCCTGATCAACCCTAACCCTAGCTTCATGTCCATATCCCTGATCAACCCTAACCCTAGCTTCATGTCCATATCCCTGATCAACCCTAACCCTAGCTTCATGTCCATATCCCTGATCAACCCTAACCCTAGCTTCATGTCCATATCCCTGATCAATACTAACCCTAGCTTCATGTCCATATCCTTGATCAACCCTAACCCTAGCTTCATGTCCATATCCCTGATCAACCCTAACCCTAGCTTCATGTCCATATCCCTGATCAACCCTAACCCTAGCTTCATGTCCATATCCCTGATCAATACTAAACCTAGCTTCATGTCCATATCCCTGATCAACCCTAACCCTAGCTTCATGTCCATATCCCTGATCAATACTAACCCTAGCTTCATGTCCATATCCCTGATCAACCCTAACCCTAGCTTCATGTCCATATCCCTGATCAATACTAACCCTAGCTTCATGTCCATATCCCTGATCAATACTAAACCTACCTTCATGTCCATATCCCTGATCAATACTAAACCTAACCCTAGCTTCATGTCCATATCCCTGATCAATACTAACCCTAGCTTCATGTCCATATCCCTGATCAATACTAAACCTAACCCTAGCTTCATGTCCATATCCCTGATCAACCCTAACCCTAGCTTCATGTCCATATCTCTGATCAACCCTAACCCTAGCTTCATGTCCATATCCCTGATCAATACTAACCCTAGCTTCATGTCCATATCCCTGATCAACCCTAACCCTAGCTTCATGTCCATATCCCTGATCAATACTAACCCTAGCTTCATGTCCATATCTCTGATCAACCCTAACCCTAGCTTCATGTCCATATCCCTGATCAATACTAACCCTAGCTTCATGTCCATATCCCTGATCAATACTAACCCTAGCTTCATGTCCATATCTCTGATCAATACTAACCCTAGCTTCATGTCCATATCCCTGATCAACCCTAACCCTAGCTTCATGTCCATATCCCTGATCAATACTAACCCTAGCTTCATGTCCATATCCCTGATCAATACTAACCCTAGCTTCATGTCCATATCTCTGATCAACCCTAACCCTAGCTTCATGTCCATATCCCTGATCAATACTAACCCTAGCTTCATGTCCATATCCCTGATCAATACTAACACTAGCTTCATGTCCATATCCCTGATCAACCCTAACCCTAGCTTCATGTCCATATCCCTGATCAATACTAACCCTAGCTTCATGTCCATATCTCTGATCAACCCTAACCCTAGCTTCATGTCCATATCCCTGATCAACCCTAACCCTAGCTTCATGTCCATATCCCTGATCAACCCTAACCCTAGCTTCATGTCCATATCCCTGATCAATACTAACCCTAGCTTCATGTCCATATCCCTGATCAACCCTAACCCTAGCTTCATGTCCATATCCCTGATCAATACTAACCCTAGCTTCATGTCCATATCTCTGATCAACCCTAACCCTAGCTTCATGTCCATATCCCTGATCAATACTAAACCTAACCCTAGCTTCATGTCCATATCCCTGATCAATACTAACCCTAGCTTCATGTCCATATCCCTGATCAACCCTAACCCTAGCTTCATGTCCATATCCCTGATCAACCCTAACCCTAGCTTCATGTCCATATCCCTGATCAACCCTAACCCTTGCTTCATGTCCATATCCCTGATCAATACTAACCCTAGCTTCATGTCCATATCTCTGATCAACCCTAACCCTAGCTTCATGTCCATATCCCTGATCAATACTAACCTAACCCTAGCTTCATGTCCATATCCCTGATCAACCCTAACCCTATGTCCATATCCCTGATCAACACTAACCCTAGCTTCATGTCCATATCCCTGATCAATACTAAACCTAACCCTAGCTTCATGTCCATATCCCTGATCAACCCTAACCCCCATATCCCTGATCAATACTAACCCTAGCTTCATGTCCATATCCCTGATCAATACTAACCCTAGCTTCATGTCCATATCTCTGATCAACCCTAACCCTAGCTTCATGTCCATATACCTGATCAATACTAAACCTAACCCTAGCTTCATGTCCATATCCCTGATCAACCCTAACCCTAGCTTCATGTCCATATCCCTGATCAATACTAACCCTAGCTTCATGTCCATATCCCTGATCAATACTAACCCTAGCTTCATGTCCATATCCCTGATCAATACTAAACCTAACCCTAGCTTCATGTCCATATCCCTGATCAACCCTAACCATTTTTTACATTTTAGTCATTTAGCAGACGCTCTTATCCAGAGCGACTTACAGGAGCAATTAGGGTTGTGCCTTGCTCAAGGGCACATCGACAGATTTTTCACCTAGTCGGCTCGGGGATTAGAACCAGCGACCTTTCGGTTACTGGCACAATGCTCTTAACCACTAAGCTACCTGACGCCCCATGTCCATATCCCTGATCAACACTAAACCTAGCTTCATGTCCATATCCCTGATCAACCCTAACCCTAGCTTCATGTCCATATCCCTGATCAACCCTAACCCTAGCTTCATGTCCATATCCCTGATCAACCCTAACCCTAGCTTCATGTCCATATCCCTGATCAACCATAACCCTAGCTTCATGTCCATATCCCTGATCAACACTAACCCTAGCTTCATGTCCACATCATTGATCAACCCTAACCCTAGCTCCATGTCCATATCCCTGATCAATACTAAACCTAACCCTAGCTTCATGTCCATATCCCTGATCAACCCTAACCCTAGCTTCATGTCCATATCCCTGATCAACACTAACCCTAGCTTCATGTCCATATCCCTGATCAATACTAACCCTAGCTTCATGTCCATATCCCTGATCAATACTAACCCTAGCTTCATGTCCATATCCCTGATCAATACTAACCCTAGCTTCATGTCCATATCCCTGATCAACACTAACCCTAGCTTCATGTCCACATCATTGATCAACACTAACCCTAGCTTCATGTCCATATCCCTGATCAACACTAACCCTAGCTTCATGTCCACATCATTGATCAATACTAACCCTAGCTTCATGTCCACATCATTGATCAACCCTAACCCTAGCTTCATGTCCACATCATTGATCAATACTAACCCTAGCTTCATGTCCACATCATTGATCAACACTAACCCTAGCTTCATGTCCATATCCCTGATCAATACTAACCCTAGCTTCATGTCCATATCCCTGATCAACCCTAACCCTAGCTTCATGTCCATATCCCTGATCAATACTAACCCTAGCTTCATGTCCATATCCCTGATCAACCCTAACCCTAGCTTCATGTCCATATCCCTGATCAACACTAACCCTAGCTTCATGTCCACATCATTGATCAACACTAACCCTAGCTTCATGTCCATATCCCTGATCAACCATAACCCTAGCTTCATGTCCATATCCCTGATCAACACTAACCCTAGCTTCATGTCCACATCATTGATCAACACTAACCCTAGCTTCATGTCCACATCATTGATCAACCCTAACCCTACATTTTTGTTTGTCCCTAGTTTTGTGTGGGACGTGGTGTGTATCTACTACGACAGTGATGCCACAGTACAGAAGGATGAGGAGATCCAGGCGTTTGTTAAAGATGTCTGCAGCTTTGGGATGCAGGACCTTGACTGCTGTGGTGGGTACAAACACATAATAACCAACAAACACTACAATGGCATAGCCTGCTTCAAAATGCTGTTTTAGTTATCTGCAATACAAATACACACTTTCTCTGGACTGTGTTGGAAGACGTAGCTGACCATGCAGTAACATTATCAATATTTAGCTATGCAGACATCCTTGTATGCAGACATGTACTTAACTTTTAGTGGCTCACTGGTGGAACAAGTGTCAAAATAAACATCCTGTGTTGCGCCCAAAACGTGTTAAACATCCCCTTAACTTGGCATTAAGCAAGGGCTGACCACTGCACTCTGTGGCAAGGAGGAAAGCATAGTTCCTCTGGTGATTATAGGCTTTTTATTCCTCGTGTCACTATTTCAAATTTGTTTTTATTTTTTATCTTTATATTTAACTCTGCAATGTTGAAAAAATACCCGTAAGGAAGCATTTCACTGTTAGTCTACACCTGTTGTTTATGAAGCATGTGACAAATAACATTTGATTGATTATATGGAAACTTTTTCTGCAGAGTTTCCCAAGTCCCTGAAGACACGTGAGGATCTCACAGAGTACCTGACTGTCATCATCTTCACTGCCTCAGCTCACCACGCTGCTGTCAACTTCGGACAGGTGAGACTTGGGGCTAGATTCAATCAGATTGACATCTGCATAGCGTTGTTTTGCTGGTCTAACTGTAAGTCTGCTAAATTACTAAAATGTTAATGTTAAATCTATGACGTTAAAATGCCTATTTACGGTCTCATGACACAAGAGCACCACCTAGCTTCCCTTAGCTGTTAATGTCTGTCTACTCTGTGTCTATCAGTATGACTGGTGCTCGTGGATCCCCAACGCTCCCCCCACCATGCGTAAGCCCCCTCCCACACAGAAAGGGGTGGTAGATGTGAAGTTCATCATCGAGAGTCTCCCTGACCGCGGCCGGTCCTGCTGGCACCTAGGGGCCGTCTGGGCCCTCAGTCAGTTCCAGGAGAATGAGGTACACACACCACACGCACACGCACACTCACACGCACACACACACTCACACACACACAGTGTTTGTCTGCTTTTGTTCTGAATGTTAAAGAAAGCGCTCCAACCCCTGTGTGTGTGTGTGTGTGTGTGTGTGTGTGTGTGTGTGTGTGTGTGTGTGTGTGTGTGTGTGTGTCCTCTCCTCCAGCTGTTCCTGGGGATGTACCCAGATGAGCACTTCATAGAGAAGCCTGTGAAGGAGGCCATGGAGTCGTTCAGGAAGAGACTGGCAGAGGTCAGCAGTGTCATCAAGATCCGCAACGAAGGCAAGAAACTACCCTACTACTACTTCTCTCCTGACCGCATCCCTAACAGTGTGGCTGTCTGAGAGAGGGAGGGAGGAGGTGGAGAGGAGAGAGGGAGGAGGGGAGAGGGAGTGAGGGAGATGGGAGGAAGAAAGGGAGGGGGAGGGAGGGAACGAGAGAGGGAGGAGGGGAGAGGGAGAGGGAGGAGGGGAGAGGGAGTGTGGGTGAAAAGGAGGGAGCAGGGGAGGGGGAGAGAAGGAGGGAGGAGTGGGAGAGTGAGTGAGGAGGGGTGGAAGGGAGAGGAAGAGGGATGAGGGGGAGAGAGGGAGGGAGATATGGAGAGAGGGGGGAAGAGAGGGAAGGAGATATGGAGAGAGAGAGGAAGGGAACTAGGGAGGGGGAACGAGGGAGGGAGGGAAGGGGAGAGAGCGGGAGGGGGAATAGCTATATAGTCTGATATATTGTGAACACAGTGTTGTTTCTTACATCCTGTGCTGTATGTATATTGCGCTATGATAAGCACATACCCACTGATGCCATTCAACTTTTTTGCCAGCGATTCTTACAAACAGAAAGTCCCACATTTAAATAATGTGGATTTAGCTATGAAACATCATTGCTGTACATTTCAAATGTCAAATAAAAATGATCTAAAAATGTGCTTTTCTATTTCTCCTTATAGTATTGTAAAACTGTTGGTGACAATGAAAGTATACGAGACGCACATCCAGTAGCTAAAATGAAAGAAGACTTACCAGTATTCATATTAACAAACCGTTTAAAGGTTTTCATTTTTATTTGGTTGGTTTTTCAATCTACATACTTTATTCAAACATGGGAAATGAAACAAATCAAAACACATCAATATTTATTTTTAAAAACATAAGTACTTTTTTTCTTACCAAAATTTTTTACTATTCAAAGGTAAACTCACAGACAAACGTGTGGAATGATCTATGAAGGAGGGAAACAGTGGTATGCTCAAGTCGAGTCAGTAGTAAAGCACTGTAGTTTTATGCAAGTAACACTTTCTCAGCACAAGGGTTATTATTTTGATTATGGGGGACAGAACAGCTTACCTTATGGAATGGCTGCTTAAGTTGTTATGTTCTGCAGGAGAGATGTGTGTTCTCTTACATGTTAAATGGCTTTGAATGAACAGACAGACTTCTGCCAGAGCAATGTTATACAGAATGGTTTAGGGGTACGCAATTTCTAGTAACTTTCCCAAAATGGTCAGGTTTTCCAGAAATCTGTGAATATTCCAACCGGGACAACTGGAAAACATGGGAATTTGGGGAAAGTTGCCAGAAATGCCGCTGTTACAAAGTTATTATAGAGCTTAGCTGTAAAGAACTGTTCTCATCATATAGCTAAGCAAAGCCCTGTACATAAAAGTCTTGAGGTCAAACATGAAAGGTCAACATCAACAAGTCAACAGGTATGTTTTCTCAAAAAGAGAATTATAGGAGCCAGCTATACATCATCAAACATATAATTTCAATTAATTTATCAATCATGTAAATTGTAATCTTTTAAAATATCAATAATTATCTGACTAAAACAAAACGATTGATCATTTGGATCCATTGTATTGATCAGGTAAAAGCAGTGGTTATAAAAGCAGGCTGAATAACTTAGGGGGTAGAACTATAGACTTAAGAGTAAATTACCTTTAAAAGCCAAGTGCAGTGAGGTTTACTTTAAGCCTGGACTCAGTGTATTACTGCTCCCTTTCAAAGAGTCTTGCATCCGACAATAACTAAGACAGTGTGAGAAAGTAATGTACAGGAGGAGAACACACAGAGATGGAATTGGTTTCCAGGGGAAAGCTCAACTAGCTCATGTCTGGAGTTGGGTACTGCTAGTATTAGTTGCATAAAGGGGTCTCTTTTGATGCAAACAAATCTTTTTCTTAAAAAAAACTGAAACACAGAAACACAGAAAATTTTGAAATAATCATCATGTATCCAGAGAGTCAACCTCTGGATGAGAGCGACAGTACTAGTGAATTGACCAGGTCAGCTAAGGTAATTGCACTTTTTCTGTCTAATCGTAAAGAGCATCTTGGGGACTGTGTGAGGGTGTCCTAAAATGTAAACCATACAGGGGACTGTGTGAGTCCACAGCTGTATAATACAATAATAATATGTTCTGAGAAAGCATGAGGCCCTTATAATCAAACATGCTTCTCAAATACAAAATAATGTCACATACACCAGATAAGTGCAGTGAAATGTGTTGATTTACAGGGTCAGATTTAGTAGTACAGCGTCCTTGGCACAAATTAGTGTTAAGCACCTTGCTCAAGGACACATCAACAGATTTTTCACCTTGTCGGCTCGGGTATTCGAACCAGTGACCTTTCGGTTTCTGGCCCAACACTCTAACCGCCATGCTACCTGCCACCCACAACTCTAATCCTGACTTTTACACAAATTAGACACCAAATCCCAGAATACAATGGGGCTTTACATTACAGGAAATCAGATGTTGATTTTGGTTTTGTTTGTCGTCATCGTACATTAGAAGTGTCAAGGTTGGACCTCTGTTGTTGTCGTGTGTATGTTTACACTAGTATCAAATACACTGTTGATAAAAATGTGTGTTTGCTGGAATGGTTGTATAAGGCCAGAGAGGACCCTGGCATTGCTGTTCTCCCACAGATATAAAAGCACTTACAACAGACTGTAAGCCCAAAACACAGTGTTGCCTTGAGGAAACCACAACGTCCCTGTTCAGACTGCACTTTCCTACTCCCAACACTAGATGGTGACCCAGTCAGCTCCTCAACTCTCAAAGCAAAGAGCGAAAACCAAAGCAGCAATATATCAGGACAGGTCAACCAATAGAGGACAAGTCTCTGAAAGCTGCATCCTCCGAAGATGGAGAGGGTCAGTTCATGGCTTGAGCGGAGGGAGCTGGTCAGAGGATGGTAGATGATGGTGATTGGTTGTCTCATAATAATAGGCCCTGTACTCCATGCCTTCTGCCTCTGTATCTGTAGCTCATAGGACCTCTCATTGTAATAATAGGCCCTGTACTCCATGCCTTCTGCCTCTGTAGCTCATTGGATGAAAATAAACAGCCAGTGATCAAATTAATATAATCTTATGTAAATGAGGATTTTAATAATCCCATCTGCATTATCATTATCAGTGTGATCAGAGAAGTCAATAGGCCCACTGTAAACTGCCTTGAGAAGAGAGGAGGATGACAGGATGAGATAACAGTCTAAATATAGCAGGCTGTAGCTTCCTCAAGGCATCATAAAACCCATGATTACACCAACATAATTAACAACAGATTATTATTATTAAAAACTGCACATGGAATACCATAAGTACTGTATCATTCGCACAATAGAAAAAAGATGACCGATTGGTTGGTTTTCCAAAGGTCATGTTAAGATGATGACTGACATGGGAGATTATCTAGCAATTTCCTGTGACTGAATGGTTGGTAGAAAATGGTTTTAAAAACGTTACATTCTTCTCAGAGCCTTTAGAGAGTTCATATGGTAGAGGGAGGTAATGTCAGGTGGATGGCTAGATCTGATGTTATCACAACGTTGTGTTTTGGTTGTATCAACGTTGTATCAATATTGTATCAACCCAACCCAAACAAGATGTAAAAACCACAGAGCTTGAGTAACCAGTAGGCCATATATAGTATTGACTTTCAGTGTTTGTTTGTTTTTCTTGTCGAAAAGGGAAATGATCATTTTGGCAAAATTCAATTCCCCCCCCCCCCCCCCCCCATCATTCTCAATTCATTTTTTGTCATCCAAGGGAGGGCAGGTGTGTATGTGTCTGTGTGTGGGACAGAAATCTCAAATGTAAAACAAAAGATTTCCCCACAAATGTCTGTATAATTTCCCACAATTATCCTGCAAACAAAAATGTGTCCTTAGGACTTCCCGGAAACATCACGAAATGGTCGTCAAAAGTTTGTAAAGTTCCCTAGTGGACATAAAAAAACGTATTATAACGTTACACTGCGACCAGACCGGGACCTGCACTGATGTCCCCTTATGGATAACGTCTTGCCGAAACCCTAAAAGGGAACTAATGGGAACATCGTTTAATGTCCTAGAGACGTCCCCTGTTTGCTGGGATATACTATAAAGAACTTGACTCAGATTAAAAGAGAAAAGGGGTGAGAGGGATGTTGGTGGGAACTAAAAAGTGCTTCAATGCATGGTCAGATCCGGTACAATCCAGTCCGATCCGGTCTGATCTGGTCGAGACCAGTACAGACCCAAACCCAGAGAGGCGGGCATGCAGGCCTTAGCGGGCTCTCGGACGTCAGCGGTATGGTGGCAGTAGTTGTTGGAATGTTCAATGTTCCAGAATGTTCTAGAATGTTCCAAAGTGTTCTAGAATGTTCCAGAGATCCGGCGGTGCTTTAGCCAACGACTCACAGTTAGTAAAACAAATAAACCAAACATACAAGCTAACAAACAAACAAACAACGAAACAGAAACACTGAAACCTCTGGAGCAGAGTGAGTTCATCTGTCTCAGTCCTGTTCCCCTAGAGATGTGTGTGTGTGTGTGTAGAGGTGTCTATGGGCTCTTCGGGCCTCAGTGGAGAAAGTCCTGGGAGAAAGAAGGAGGCTGAGAGGCTGAGGGTTGTTGGTCCATACTCCTGCATACTGTAGTCCTGTCTCAGACTGTGTGGGGACGGTGGGATCAGGGTGGGTCAGTCACACCTCCTCAGGACAACATCCATACTATAGTATTTTGTATATCTGTGTGTGTGTTTCACTCTGTGCGTTCATCAGTGGAGGCTGCTGAGGGGAGGACGGCTCATAATAATGGCTGTAACGGAGCGAATGGAATGGCATCAAACCATGTGTTTGATGTATTTGACACATTCCACTGATTCTGCTCCTGCCATTACCATGAGCCCATCTTCCCCAATTAAGGTGCTACCAACCTCCTGTGGCACTCATGTGTGTGTTTATATACGTTGGCCTCCTGTAGCTCAGTTGGTAGAGCATGGCGCTTGCAACGCCAGGGTTGTGGGTTCGATTCCCACGGGGGGCCAGTATGAAAAATGTATGCACTCAATAACTGTAAGTCGCTCTGGATAAGAGCGTCTGCTAAATGACTAAAATGTAAATGATGTGTCCCTGTGTGTTAGTATACAGTGCCTTCAGAAAGTATTCACACCCCTTGACTTATTCCACACTTTGTTGTGTTACAGCCTGAATTCTAAATGCATTAAATATATGTTTTTTCTCACCCATCTACACACAATACCCCATAAAGACAAAGTGAAAACATGACATACAGAAATATCACATTTACATAAGTATTCACACCCCTGAGTCAATACTTTGTAGAAGCAACTTTGGCAGTGATTACAGCTGTGAGTCTTTCTAGGTAAGTCTCTAAGAGCTTTCCACACCTGGATTGTGCAACATTTGCCAATTTCTATTGAAAGAATTCATCAAGCTCTGTCAAATTGGTTGTTGATCATTGCTAGACAACCATTTTCAGGTCTTGCCATAGATTTTAAAGTAGATTTAAGTCTAAACTGTAACTCAGCCACTCAGGAGCCTTCACTGTCTTCTTGGTAAGCAACTCCAGTGTAGATTTGGCCTTGTGTTTTAGGTTATTGTCCTTCTGAAAGGTTCATTCATCTCCCAGTGTCTGGTGGAAAGCAGACTGAACCAGGTTTTCCTCTAGGATTTTGCCTGTGCTTAGCTCCATTCCGTTTCTTTTTTATCCTGTAAAACTCCCCAGTCCTTAACGATTACAAGCATTCCCATAACATGATGCAGCCACCACTATGCTTGAAAATATGAAGAGTGGTACTCAGTAATGTGTTGTATTGGATTTGCCCCAAACATAACACTTTATATTCAGGACAAAAAGTGAATTGCTTTGCCACATTTTTTGCATTATTACTTTAGTGCCTTGTTGCAAACAGGATGCATGTTTTGGAATATTTTTTATACTGTACAGGCTTCTTTCTTTTCACTGTCATTTAGGTTAGTATTGTGGAGTAACTACAATGTTGTTGATCCATCCTCAGTTTTCTCCTATCACGGCCATTAAACTCTGTAACTGTTTTAAAGTCACCATTGGCCTCATGGTGAAATCCCTGAGTGGTTTCCTTCCTCTCTGACAACTGAGTTAGGAAGGACGCCTGTATCTTTGTAGTGACTGGGTGTATTGATACACCATCCAAAGTGTAATGAATAACTTCACCATGCTCAAAGGGATATTCAATGTCTGCTTTTTTTAAATGTACCAATAGGTGCCCTTCTTTCTGAGGCATTGGAAAGCCTCCCTGGTCTTTGAGGTTGAATCTGTGTTTGAAATGCACTGCTCGATTAAGGGACCTTACAGATAATTGTATGTGTGGGATACAGAGATGAGGTAGTAATTCAAAAATCATGTTAAACACTATTATTGCACACAGTGAGTGCATGCAACTTATTATGTGACTTGTTAAGCACATTTTTACTCTTGAACGTATTTAGGCTCGTCATAACAAAGGGATTGAATACTTATTGACTCAAGACATTTCAGCTTTTCATTTCACTTTTTTTTTAAAGCATATTTCCACTTTGACGTTATGGGGTATTGTGTGTAGGCCAGTGACAAAATCTCAATTTAATCAACTTTAAATTCAGGTTGTAGCACAACAAAATGTGGAAAAAGTCAAGGGGTGTGAATACTTTCTGAAGGCACTTGATGTGGGTCAGACATGGTGTGTCACTGTGTGTCAGTATCTGTGGGTCAGACATGGTGTGTCACTGTGTGTCAGTATATGTGGGTCAGACATGGTGTGTCACTGTGTGTCAGTATCTGTGGGTCAGACATGGTGTGTTACTGTGTGTCAGTATCTGTGGGTCAGACATGGAGCACTTCCATACTGTAGTCCTCTGTCTCTGTGTACTGGGAGGAGTTTGTGTCTGACTGGGTGGGGACCAGAGCCTCCTTGTGCTCCACATTGGGCTCCATGAGGGGCGGCTTCTCCAACATCTGCTTTTTACACGTTTCTGGGCGGTTCTGGACGTAGATCACCCGGTTGTAGGCCTTGAGTCTCCGCCACAGCTGGAAGTAGACTTTACACTGGATGTACATGAAGACCAGGCCGCCAGTGAAGCCGATGGCCACCACCACCAGCTTGGTCCAGAATGGCCACTCCAGGATACCTGGGGTTAGGGTTAGAAGAGAGAGAGAGAAGAGAGACATATAAAATACATCGCAAACAGTCACAGCCATAGATATGTGCTTATCTAGGATGACGATGCTATAATAATCATTATTTCAAGTTAAGAGGTGGTGAATGGTGAAAGATTCAAGAAATGGGAGTAGATAGGGTCATGTAGGAAGTAGGAACAGGAACTGGGTTCTATCTCAATTAGTCTTTCCGCAATTCCTTGCGTCCTATCTCCTTACCTCCTTCCCAAACAGATTGGAGAAGAAGGTCCAACGTTCCTCCTTCTCCAATGCGTTTTAAAAACATTTGACATTTTTGTAATTTAGCAGACAATCTTATCGAGAGCGACTTACAGTTAGTGCATTCATGTCAAGGTATAGACAACCACATATCACAGTCATAGTAAGTAAAACTTTTCCTCAATAAAGCCCCTATCAGCAAAGTCAGTGCTAGTAAGAAAAGTGCAAGAAAGGAAAAGGTGGGTTTTCTTTTTGTCCTTGTGGGGGGATTATTTGAGGTATAGGTGAGGAGAGAGGTTGAGAGGAATCAAGGAAAGATGAAATGAGAATGGTGCTGGACTGTTTTACGGCCTCCTGACCAATTATGCTGTTTTTTGTTTTTTTGGACATCAGAACAGCGATCACTAAACTCGATTTGGATGAAGATTTCTACTTCAATGAGTTGGCGGCACAGGACATACTGCTCATTTCGGACCAGGCCCTAATCCCCGACACTCGCTAGAGAAAGAGAGGGCTATATGTGACTCGTTTCAGGAAACTACGCGTATGTCGCACGTCACTACTTCACAGGAGCGCCATTTGAACATTCACTTTTTTTTTATCAAAATGTGTTTTTTGGCAGAAATGCCTTCTGGAACATGTGAACTTTCATGTGCCTCAATATCAAACTTGTATGCCATCTGTAAATATGAATACAATTGTTAAATTAGGAGCCTAGTTGGTTTAGCCACAGAAAAAGACAGCAACCTTCCCGCTATCCATGATTGGCTGAGATAATGAGTGGGCTGGACATGCCGAGAGATGAGTTCGGATTGGTCTGCCATGTAGCACGCTTCGGTCTATAACATAAGCTGGTCAGTATGTGTATGTAATCCTTTCTAACTCTGCTTTTTTGAAAGACATCACGTAGTAGAACTGCATAAGTGTTGCTCTCCGCTTTCTGGAGGACCGAGTTTTGAAATCAGTGGAATTAGCGTATGATAGCTAAGGAGATGGAGAAAATTCTGGCATTTGATTGCAAACATGCAGACAGAGTCGAAAAGAGAACACACAGAAGGCTGTTTTATAAAACATCTGTCTCCGGATTACATCTTCAAACAAAGGGCAACCATGGCATCCGTGACAGAGAGGGAGAAGCGTCCATCCATGTATAAGATAGTCTAGCTAGCTACATTTTCAGATATTACACGTTTCTAATTTTGTCAGAAAGTCATTTTCATTTCAAGTTAAAGTGTAGTTTGCTAGCTAGCTAATGTTAGCTGGCTGGCTATCTAGCTAACGTTACGTGTGTGATCTGTGTAGTAATATTATTAGTATCTCAGAGCCATTTGTATTGCTAGTTATAGCCTAATGTTAGCTAGCTAACATTGAACCTGGTTGGTTAGCTACCTGCAGATTCATGCAGGGTAGTAACATTATGAGTTGGGATTATGGTTCATTGTTTAGCTAGCTATATAGCTACATGTCTAAACAAAAGACTCCACTATGCAAGTAACTATTTCAATAGAATGTTTATGATGTCACTGCGACAATTGTCGATAGACGTAGCTGGTAAATTTGCTCTGGAAATCTACCGATTTCTGTGCACTCTCGTCTGAGTGTGCCAGAGCTCCGAATAACTGACAAATTTACGAACGCGCAACACCTGTTGAATATGGCCGGTGTCAGTAAACGTTGGCAAAAAAAGCGTAATTAAATTGTTGCCAGCCGCACAGTTGCAGTCACCAACGCTCTGGATAACATAAAAACAGCCTAACCAGCTCTGCTAGGGTGAGTAAAATGGTCAGTGAGCTGTTCTCTCATTTGTGTCTGGAAGTAGCTAGCAAGCTAGCCAACGTTAGCCAGTTAGCTTGGGTGCTTGACTGCTGTTGTTAGGTTAGAACGCTCGGATCAACCCTACTCCTCGGCCAGAGTGTCCAGTGTGTGCTCTGAACGCTACGAAAGCGAAACGCTCTGAATTTACAAACGGACAATCTGACAACGCTCTGAGTTTACGAACGCCAATATTACATTTACGAACACACCCGTAGTATAAACCAGCCTTTAGTATTGAAATCTTTGGTTGTTTAGTACATAGCCTCACATGTGAATCCTTAAAAAGATGGGTGGGGCTAAAGCTTAAGAGGGTGTGAACTATGCTTAATGGGGTGTAGACAAAGAAGAGCTCTCCAGTAGGTACCAAAACATTCAAGGGCCATTTTCTCAAAAGTGAGGCTACAAGTTTATCAACTTTCAAAGTAGAATTACTTTCCCATTGTTCCTCAACTGTAGTGTATGATATACAATTTTCTAGCTCTGAGTCTCTACTTTTATCCAATGTAAAACACACCATTTCAATTTTTGCTACATAAGACCGAATCGAGCCGGTCGGTCATATATAGAGTCCGACTGTGGGTACCCTGATGAAACTACGGCAACGAGCAAATAATCCGCTTCTACCCTCCGTTCTATTGGCGAATGTATAATCACTGGAGAACAAACTGGACGAGCTCCGTTCCTATCAACAGGACCCAAAGAACTGTAATATCCTATGTTTTTCGGAAACTTGGCTGAACGAGGACGTATAATTCGCTAGCTGCTTTTTCTATGCATCGGCAGGACAGAACGGCAACATCGGGTAAGCTCAAGGGGGGAGATGTGTGTCTCTTTGTTAACAACCGCTGGTGCATGATCTCTAATATTAAGGAAGTCTCGAGGTGCCGCTCGCCTGAGTTAGAATACCTCATGAAAAGCTGTAGACCATACTACACTGAACAAAAATATAAATGCAACATGTAAAGTGTTGGTCCCATGTTTCATGAGCTGAAATAAAAGATCCCAGAAATTTTACATACCCACAAAAAGCATATTTCTCTCAAATTTGGTGCACACATTTGTTTACATCCCTGTTAGTGAGGATTTTTCCTTTGCCAAGATAATCCATCCACCTGGCAGGTGTGGCATATCAAGAAGCTGATTAAACAGCATGATCATTACACAGGTGCACCTTGTGCTGGGGACAATAAAAGACCACTCTAAAATGTGCAGTTTTATCACACAACACAATGCAACAGATGTCTCAAGTTTTGAGGGAGTATGCAATTGGCATGCTGACTGCAGGAATGTCCACCAGAGCTGTTGCCAGATAATTGAATGTTAATTTCTCTACCATAAACCGCCTCCAACGTTGTTTTAGAGAATGTGGCAGTACGTCCAACTGACCTCACAACCGCAGACCACATGTATGGCGTCCTGTGGGCGAGCGGTTTGCTGTGTCAACGTTGGAACAGAGTGGCCCATGGTGGCGTTGGGGTTATGGTATGGGCAGGCATAAGCTACAGACAATGAACACAATTGCATTTTATTGATGGCAATTTGAATGCACAGAGATACCGTTACGAGATCCTGAGGCCCATTGTCGTGCCATTCATCTGCCGCCATCACCTCATGTTTCAGCATGATAATGCACGGACCCATGTCACCCATTGAGCATGTTTGGGATGCTCTGGATCTACGTGTACGACAGCGTGTTCCAGTTCCCGCCAATATCCAGTGGGACATCATTCCACAGGCCACAATCAACAGCCTGATCAACTCTATGTGAAGGAGATATGTCGCGCTGCATGAGACAAATGGTGGTCACACCAGATACTGATCGGTTTTCTGATCCATGCCTCAACCTTAAAAAAATAAAAGTATCTGTGACCAACAGATGCATATCTGTATTCCCAGTCATGTGAAATGCATAGATTAGGGCCTAATGAATTGATTTCAATTGACTGATTTCCTTATATGAACTGTACTCAATAAAATCTTTGAAATTGTTGCATGTTGCGTTTATATTTTTGTTCAGTATACTTACCAAGAGAGTTTTCATCTATATTTTTCGTAGCGGTCTATTTACCCCCACAAACCGATGCTGGCACTAAGACCGCACAACAACTGTGCAACTAGAGGTGAAACAACTCTAGATCACCTTTACTCCACACAGAGACGCATACAAATCTCTCCCTCGCCCTCCATTTGGCAAATCTGACCATAACTCTATCCTCCTGCTTACAAGCAAAAACTCAAACAGGAAGTACCAGTGACGCGCTCAATACGGAAGTGGTCCGATGAAGCAGATGCTAAGCTACAGGTCTGTTTCGCTAGCACAGACTGGAATATGTTCCGGGACTCATCCGATGGCATTGAGGAGTTTACCACAGTCACCTGCTTCATTAATAAGTGCATCGACGACATCATCCCCACAGTGACCGTACGTACATATCCCAACCAGAAGTTGTGGATTACAGGCAACATCCGCACTGAGCTAACGGCTAGAGCTGCCGCTTTCAAGGAGCAGGACACTAACCCGGACGCTTATAAGAAATCTCACTACACCCTCAGACTAACCATCCAACAGGCAAAGCGTCAATACAGGACTAAGATCGAATCCTACGGGCTCTGATGCTTGTCAGATGTGGCAAGGCTTGCAAACTATCATGGATTACAAACGGCAACCCAGCCGCAAGCTGCCCAGTGATACAAGCCTACCAGACGAGCCTTCTATCTTTGCTTCGAGGCAAGCAACACTGAACCATTCGTGAGAGCACCAGCTGTTTTGGACGACTGTGTGATCACGCTCTCTGTGGCCGATGTAAGTAAGACCTTTAAACAGGTTTACATTCATAAGGCCGCAGGGCCAGATGGATTACCAGGATGCATACTCAGAGCATGCGTTGACCAGCTGGCAAGTGTCTTCACTGACATTTTCAACCTCCCCCTGACCCAGTCTGTAATACCTACATGTTTTAAGCAGACCACCATAGTCCCTGTGCCCAAGAACGCCAAGGTAACCTGTCTGAATGACTACCGCCTCGTAGCACCCACATCTGTATCCATGAAATGCTTTCAACACCATCATCCCAGACATCCTGAACCCACTCCAATTCACCTACCGCCCCAACAGATTCACAGATGATGCAATTGCTATTGCACTCCACACTGCCCTTTCCCACTCTGACAAAAGGAACACCTACGTGAGAATGCTGTTCATTGACTACAGCTCAGCGTTAAACACCATAGTGCCCTCCAAGCTCATCACTAAGCCAAGGACACTGGGACTGAACACCTCCCTCTCTAACTGGATCCAGGAATTCCTGACGGGCCACCCCCAGATGGTGAGGATAGGCAACAACACATCCGCCACGCTGACCCTCAATACAGGGGCCCCTCAGGGGTGCGTGCTTAGTCCCCTCCTGTACTCCTGTTCACCTACGACTGCGTGGCCGCACACGATTCCAACACCATCATGAAGTTTGCTGATGACACGACTGTGGTAAGCCTGATCACCGAAAACGATGAGACAGCCTATATGGAGGAGGTCAGAGACCTGGCAGTGTGGTGCCAGGACAACAACCTCCTCCTCAACATCAGCAAGACAAAGGAGCTGATCATGGACTACATTAAATTAATGCCGTGCACGCCCCCCATTCACATCGACAGGGCTGTAGAGGAGCGGGTCGAGAGCTTCAAGTTCCTCTGTGTCCACATCACTAAGGATCTATGATGGTCCAAACACACTAACACAGTCGTTAAGAGGGCACGACAACGCCTCTTCCCCCTCAGGAGGCTGAAAAGATTTGGTATGGGCCCTCAGATCCTCAAAAAGTTCTACAGCTATACCACTGAGAGCATCTTGACTGGCTGCATCACCGTTTGGAATGGCAACTGCTTGGCATCCGACGCAAAGCACTACAGAGGGTAGTGTGGACGTCCCAGTACATCGCTGTGGCCGAGCTCACTGCCATCCTGGACCTCTATACCAGGCAGTGTCAGAAGGCCCTACAAATTGTCAAAGACTCCAGCCACCAAGTCTGGAACCAACAGGACCCTGAACAGCTTCTACCCCCAAGCCATAAGACTGCTAAATAGTTTGTTACATAGTTAACCAAATACTGTAGCTACCTGGACTATCTGCATTGACCCTTTTTGCACTAACTTTTTTGATTAATCACATACGTTGCTGCTACTGTTTACTATCTGTCACTTTGTTCCTAGTTATATGTACATATCTACCTCAATTACCTCATACCCTTGCACATCGACTAGGTACTGGTACCCCTTGCATATAGCCAAGTTATAGTTACTCATTGTGTATCTATTATTACTTTTATTATTACAAATTTTACTTTTCTATTATTTCTCTATTTTCTTTCTCTCTGTATTGTTGGGAAGGACCCGTGAGTAAGCATTTCACTGTTAGTCTACACCTGTTGTTTACGAAGCATGTGACAAATAAAATTTGATTAGAAATTAGAGAAAGCCCTAAACACCAGAGCCCAGTCTCACAGGAAATGACATAAAACAGGGTTAAAGGTCAAAGGTCAAAAGTTTACCTGGGATTCTTCCGGCTGCATGGGTGAAGAGATTGTCATTACAATGTATTACCAGTGATAGACAGAGAGAGAGAGAGAGAGAGTACAGATGATTGAATGTACACTATACAGTATAACTCAGTTTAACATGCCCGTATACTCCCTAGTCAAACTAGTGAAAACAGATGGTGGTTTTCTCTCTCTCTCCCTCTCCCCCCATTCTCCTTAGCAGTACAATAACATCTTAACAGACCCAGAATAAACGTCCTAATTGTCTTTGCGACATGCTGAGAGTACTACCTGCCAAATTACTTGATGTAAGAAGACAGAGATAGAGAAAGATATACAGTGGATACTGGCCTGTTATTACGGACGGGTACTAACTATTTATTACGATCAGAGCAGAAACACAACATGTCAATCTGCGTGAACGGGCCTGAACCGAGAGAGAGTGTGTGTCATGTTGTACTGTACTAGAGTTGTGTATTGTGTTTTGCCGTCGCTCTATTCAGTGAGGGGTGTTGTGGTGTTTTCGGAATGCTGTCACTGTATTCAGTGAGGGGTGGTGTTTTTGGAGTGCACTGTCCATGCTAAGGAGTGTGTGACTGTTCTAAGGTGTGTAGTGTTGTTTTTAGCGTGCAGTGAAAGAATTGAAGGGTATGTAGTGTGTAGTGTCCATGCTGAAGGGTGTTGTGCTGTTTTTGGTGACTGTGCTGACCTGCTCTGATCTCGTCTGCAGTGCGGTCGATGAGTACGTAGAGGGACCATACCACGCAGGTGATGGCGATGACATGGAACGTCACAGAACAAATGATCTTCCTCCTCTCACTAGACGTCATCTGGAGCGTCTCCCACTGAGAGAGGAGCGAGAGAGAGAGAAAAAAAACCGAAAGACACACACACATAAATACACACATACACACACTCAAAGGACAGGGTTTGGGCGATTGACTATCAATGGACTATGAGCAGTCTGGCAAAAAGTGCCCTCTTCAGAAGCTGCTTAAACTGAGTGCTAAATATTTGATGGTCATCACTCAGTCAGTGTGATGTGAATCATTCAGTTACACACTGATGCTGGTTAACAATTTATCAGCTGTCCAGTACCACTCAACCACATCGTTAGACCTCTCATAGATCCAACACATAGGAGGGTTTCTTTATTGATCCATGAAACCTATTGAAATCAATGGTCAAATTCAAATACCTATTGCTAAAGGGTTTTGGTACATTACACGTCTGAATAGCTGATGCAATCTCTCAATAACCTTCATAAATGTCGACATGCTTTGAAATCCTTTATAACAAGCATGAAATGAAAGGCCAATGGCCACAATGTATTTTTCAGCTTTGATTTCTGGTATTGATTTGATGAAAAATGAGGAAAGGGAGAGATGAGAGTGGAGGAGAATGAGAGGATGACAGAATGGGGAACAGGGAGAGGAGCAGGCCCACTCTGCCCATCCACTCTTCTTTGGCAGAGAGGGTGTATAAGATAAGAGCGTCTGCTAAATGACTAAAACATAAAATGTATAGAAGGGTTGCCTGGCAACGTCCCAAAAATGTTGTGTCGTTGAGGCAGAAGTCTGTGTGTTGTCATGACAACAAGCTGTTCTGGACAGGCAGATAGCTAGCAACAATGGCAACAAGCTGCCATGTGGGGAATCATAGATGGCTCGTTTCAGCTCGTTGTATCTTGTTATTGATACCATGTCTTGTTTTTAGGTGTTTTGACTCCCACATCAATGCCAATATGGCAAAGATTTGCTAGCTAGCTAACAACTGTAACAATGTATTTGAGAGACAACAAGAGCTCATTGTGCAAATGTAGAAATGTTTTCTATATAGATTTGGAGAGGAAATATAGTTTACATGTCAACAATCCTTTGATTCTAAACCAACCCCACCTGTTTTTCTCCACGTTTGCGCACACATCGGTTTTGTTGCTAAACAACCCACCCCGTCTATAGATCTGTGTGCCAGTCCTGTTAACCAATACCCTGGCACACTGGCTAGTTCTACCTGAATAATGCAACCTTTTATAGAACAGGGACAGATAATAAATACACTTTACCCTGATGGAGAGAATGGATAAGGAGGATGGAGGAGGAGAGAAGGGAAGGGAGAAGGAGGAGGAGAGAAGAGGAGAGAGGAGGAGGAGAGAAGAGGAGAGAGGAGGAGGAGAGAAGAGGAAGAGAGAGGATAGGGAGGAGTAGTTAGGAGGACAAGAGAGGAGGAGAGAGGAGGAGGAGAGAAGAGGAGAGAGGAGGAGAAAGAGGAGGAGAGAGAGGAGGAGGAGAGAAGAGGAGGAGGAGAGAGGAGGAGAGAAGAGGAGGAGAGAAGAGGAAGAGAGAGGATAGGGAGGAGGAGTCAGGAGGACAAGAGAGGAGGAGAGAGGAGGAGGAGAGAAGAGGAGAGAGGTGGAGGAGGAGAAAAGTGGAGGAGAAAGGAGGAATTGGCCTGGTTTCCATGGTGTTGTCCTGAATTTACCCTGCATCTACAGTACCTTGACACACCTACTCACTCAAGGGTTTTTCTTTATTTTTACTATTTTCTACATTGTAGAAACTATTAAATAACTCACATAGTAACAAAAAAAAGTGTTAAAACAAATCAAAATATATGTTATATTTGAGATTCTTCCAAGTAGCCACCCTTTGCCTTGATGACAGCTTTGCACACTCTCAACCAGCATCATGAGGTAGTCACCTGGAATGCATTTCAATTAACAGGTGTGCCATGTTAAAAGTTAATTTGTGGAATTTCTTTCCTTCTTAATGCGTTTGAGCCAATCAGTTGTGTTGTGACAAGGTAGGGGTGGTATACAGAAAATAGCCCTATTTGGTAAAAGACCAAGTCCATATTATGGCAAGGACAGCTCAAATAAGCAAAGAGAAACAACAGTCCATCATTACTTTAAGACATGAAGGTCAGTCAATCCGGAAATTTTCAATTTGCAGTCGCAAAAACCATCAAGCGCTATGATGAAACTGGCTCTCTTGAGGACCGCCACAGGAAAGGAAGACCCAGAGTTACCTCTGCTGCAGAGGATAAGTTCATTAGAGTTACCAGCCTCAGAAATCGGCAATTAACTGCACCTCAGATTGCAGCCCAAATAAATGCTTCACAGAGTTCAAGTAACAGACACATCTCAATATCAACTGTTTAGAGGAGACTGCGTGAATCAAGCCTTCATGGTCGAATTGCTGCAAAGAAACCACTACTAAAGGACACCAATAATAAGAAGAGACTTGCTTGGGCCAAGAAACACGAGCAATGGACAGTAGACCGGTGGAAATCTGTCCTTTGGTCTGATGAGTCCAAGTTTGAGATTTATGGTTCCAACCGCCGTGTCTTTGTGAGACGCAGTGTAGGTGAATGGATGATCTCCGAATGTGTGGTTCCCACCATGAAGCATGGAGGAGGAGGTGTGATGGTGTGGGGGTGCTTTGCTGGTGACACTGTTGATGATTTATTTAGAATTCAAGGCACACTTAACCAGCATGGCTACCACAGCATTCTGCAGCGATACGCCATCCCATCTGGTTTACACTTAGTGGGACTATCATTTATTTTTCAAAAGGACAATGACCCAATACACGCCTCCAGGCTGTGTAAGGGCTAATTGACCAGGAAGGAGAGTGATTGAGTGCTGCATCAGATGACCTGGCCTCCACAATAATCTGACCTCAACCCAATTGAGATGGTTTGGGATGAGTTGGACCGCAGAGTGAAAGAAAAGCAGCCAACAAGTGCTCAGCATATGTGGGAACTCCTTCAAGACTGTTGGAAAAGCATTCCAGGTGACTACCTCATGAAGCTGGTTGAGAGAATTCAAAGAGTGTGCAAAGCTGTCATCAAGGAAAAGGGTGGCTACTTTGAAAAATGTAAAATCTAAAATATATTTTGATTTGTTTACCACTTTTTTGGTTACTACATGATTCCATATGTGTTACGTCATAGTTTTGATGTCTTCACTATTATTCTAAAATGTAGAAAATAGTAAAAATAAAGAAAAACCCTTGAATGAGTAGGTGTGTCCAAACTGTTAACTGGTAGTGTATGTGTGCTGTGTGTGTATGTGTGTTTAACCTCCTCCATGAGGGTCTTGGAGGGGGGGGGGGGGGGGGGGGTCGAGTAAGAGACAGGAGGAGGAGGGTTTTGTCTGGTTTCCATGGTGTTCATGTGTGTGTGTTGGGTGTGTATCCTCCTCTACGGGGACTCAGGACTATTATCAGAATTACCTTTATTTAAGTGCTTTCGTTCAATTAGTTGACAGTGAAATAATTTGTATTAAAATGTTGAATCTGGAAGCAATGAAGATTGATACATGGCTGAAATAAGAGTGTATCATGTCAAAACCACTTGAAACCAATTGCACCCTCCAAATTCTCACCTGAAATCTTATTCAAAGCCTAAAACCCCATTTCATGCTACTCTTATCAATATTAGTGAATTAAAACAGCTTTCTGTCATGTCAGTGTCTTCAAGTGGGGGTCACATCTGAATGTTCTGGTCACAGTCATCTCTGGGAGTGCAGAACTAGAATGGAATGAGTGTATTGCGCACACGCGCACGCAGACACAGACACAGACACAGACATACACACACACACATACAGTTGAAGTCGGAAGTTTACATACGCTTAGGTTGGAGTCATTAAAACTCGTTTTTTCAACACCTCCACAAATGTATTGTTAACAAACTATAGTTTTGGCAAGTCGGTTAGGACATCTACTTTGTGCATGACACAAGTAATTTTTCCAACAATTGTTTACAGACAGATTATTTCACGTATAATTCACTGTATCACAATTCCAGTGGGTCAATAGTTTACAAACACTAAGTTGACTGTGCCTTTAAACAGCTTGGAAAATTCCAGAAAATTATGTCATGGCTTTAGAAGCTTCTGATAGGCTAACTGACATAATTTGAGTCAATTGGAGGTGTACCTGTGGATGTATTTCAAGGCCTACCTTCAAACTCAGTGCCCCTTTGCTTGACATCATAGGAAAATCAAAAGAAATCAGCCAAGACCTCAGAAAAAAAAGATTGACACCCACAAGTCTGGTTCATCCTTGGGAGCAATTTCCAAATGCCTGAAGGTACCACGTTCATCTGTACAAACAATAGTACGCAAGTATAAACACCATGGGACCACGTAGCCGTCATAGCGCTCAGGAAGGAGACGCGTTCTGTCTCCTAGAGATGAACGTACTTTGGTGCGAAAAATGCAAATCAATCCCAGAACAACAGCAAAGGACCTTGTGAAGATGCTGGAGGAAACAGGTTCAAAAGTATCTATATCCACAGTAAAACGAGTCCTATATCGACATAACCTGAAAGGCCGCTCAGCAAGGAAGAAGCCACTGCTCCAAAACCGCCATAAAAAGCCAGACTACGGTTTGCAACTGCACATGGGGACAAAGATCGTACTTTTTGGAGAAATGTCCTCTGGTCTGATGAAACCAAAATAGAACTGATTGGCCATAATGACCATCATTATGTTTGGAGGAAAAATGTGGTCACTTGCAAGCTGAAGAACACCATCCCAACTGTGAAACACGGGGGTGGCAGCATCATGCTGTGGGGGTGCTTTGCTGCAGGAGGGACTGGTGCACTTCACAAAATAGATGGCATTATGAGGAAGGAAAATGATGTGGATATATTGAAGCAACATCTCAAGACATCAGTCAGGAAGTTAAAGCTTGGTCGCAAATGGGTCTTCCAAATGTACAATGACCCCAAGCATACTTCCAAAGTTGTGGCAAAATGGCTTAAGGACAACAAAGTCAAGGTATTGGAGTGGCCATCACAAAGTCCTGACCTCAATCCTATAGAAAATTTGTGGGCAGAACTGAAAAAGCGTGTGCGAGCAAGGAGGCCTACAAACCTGACTCAGTTACACCAGCTCTGTCAGGAGGAATGGGACAAAATTCACCCAACTTATTGTGGGAAGCTTGTGGAAGGCTACCCGAAATGTTTGACCCAAGTTACACAATTTAAAGGCAATGCTACCAAAGTGTATGTAAACTTCTGACTCACTGGAAATGTGGTGAAATAAATAAAAGCTGAAATAAATCATTCTCTCTACTATTATTCTGACATTTCACATTCTTAAAATAAAGTGGTGATCCGAACTGACCTAAGACAGGGAATTTTTACTAGGATTAAACGTCAGGAATTGTGAAAAACTGAGTTTAAATGTGTTTGGCTAAGGTGTATGTAAACCTCCGACTTCAACTGTACATACACATACAGTGTTTTCTACAAGCACATGGAGTAGCCAAATAGAAAATGTAGCCAGCCAGGATCCCCCGGGCCAAACAAGCTCCATTTTGGTGGCCTCCGGTACATTCTAATGCCTTGATTCCATCCAAAAATACACTGCGAAATTATTCAATACTTTATTGAGTTTACCGCCCAGAGACCTTCTGTCTCACCTTGCGCAGGGGTTTAAGCTTTGTCTGCATGATGAACTGGTACTTGCAGAGTTCACAGCAACGTGTATCCGAGGACTTGATCCACTGCTGCAGGCACCCCTGGTGGACGAAGCGCAGGCTGCCCGTACAGTGGCACGGTGTTATCAAAGGGCTCTCATCATCTCCTTCACAGTGACAGATCCTACAGAGAGAGACATAGACACACAGGGTCAGTTACAGACACATATGTAGACCATAACAGATACACATATCCTGTAGCTCAGTTGGTAGAGCATGGCGCTTGCAACGCAAGGGTTGTGGGTTCGTTTCCCACGGGGGGCCAATATGAAAAATGTATGCACTCACTAATTGTAAGTCGCTCTTGATAAGAGCGTCTGCTAAAGACTAAAATGTCCCCCCCAAAAAAGTCAAATACAGTGCCTTCAGAAAGTATTAATACCCCTGCAGATACACAAGATATACAGTGCCTTCAGAAAGTATTCATACCCATTGACTTACTCCACATTTTGTTGTGTTACAGCCTCTAGAAGTTACTGATACAGAGTTATTACCTCCAGACAGTTACTGATACAGAGTTACAGTATCAACAAATTCTCATCATCTCTGCCACAGTGACCCTAGAGGAGATCAGAGTTTATATCAAACAGAAATACTGATCACATCAGAACTAATAACACAACACAGAGACTGTCTATCACAGGAGGCTGGAGAGGGGAGGATGGCTCATAATAATGGCTGAAATGAATTGGCATCAAACTATGTGTTTGATGTGTTCTATAATGTTAAGTACACACCGTTCCAGCCATTACTATGAGCCCGTTCTCCTCCATTAAGGTGCCACAAGCCACCTGTGCTGTCTATGTCCCCAAGAGGAAACTCAATAATGACAAACTAATGTAATTTCTGCTACTTTATTCCTGAATCAACTTCACAGTCATTAATAATTTGCTGTTTTCTGAGGGACATGGGTTTCGTCCCATATGGCACCCAATGGGCCTTGGTCTAAAGTAGTGCACTATATAGGGAACAAGGTGACATTTGGGATGCATCCATTAGAGTAGACATAGAATGACACAGATAGTTTGTTACAGTATGGCTTATAAATAGAACAACCTCAAGGTATTTTACCACAGCAGCATTCACCGTTGGAGGGCATGAGATCAGTACAGTGACTCTGCACACACACACCCACCCGCGCACAAATACACACACACACACACACACACACACACACACACACCTCTATTGAGTATTCTGATCATACACACACCATAAATGAAAGGTATATTTCAGGGAATCAATCAGATCTGTAACATCGCTCCTCTTCTCAAGCAGGAAGTTGGAGGGAGAAAATCGATGGAGAGAGAGAAATCGAGAAAGAGAGAGAGAGAAAGAGAGGGGGAGAGAGAGAGAGAGAATAGAGGGGAGAGAGAGAGAGAGAATAGAGGGGAGGGAGAGAGAGAGAATAGAGGGGAGAGAGAGAATAGAGGGGGAGAGAGAGAGAGAATAGAGGGGGAAGGGAGAGGGAGAGAAAGAGAGGGGGAAGGGAGAGGGAGAGAAGAGGGTGGGATCAGAGTTGCTGCTGAAAATACAGAGTAACATGTAAAGGCAGCACTGATAATTATCCCTGAAGTCAATACTCTCAGAACTCACACACACACACACACCCTCCCTATACACACACACACACACACACACACACACACACACACACACACACACACCACACACACACACCTAGGTTGAGTCGTGCAGGTAGGTGTGATTAAATGACAACATAAACAAAGCAGGAGGGAAAAGAGAACGGCATTATGTCTTCCTCAAAAACAGACGGAGGAGGAGAGAGGCGTGGCGGGATGGAGGGAGAGAGAGAGAGGTTATGGCTGGGGAGGAGAAGAGGAGAGAGTGGGATGGAGGGAGAGAGAGAGAGGGAGAGAGAGAGAGTTTATGGCTGGGGAGGAGAAGAGGAGAGAGTGGGATGGAGGGGGAGAGAGAGAGGGAGAGGAGAGAGGTTATGGCTGGGGAGGGAGAAGAGGAGAGAGTGGGATGGAGGGGAGAGAGAGAGAGGTTATGGCTGGGGAGGAGAAGAGGAGAGAGTGGGATGGAGGGAGAGAGAGAGAGGTTATGGCTGGGGAGGAGAAGAGGAGAGAGTGGGATGGAGGGAGAGAGAGAGGTTATGGCTGGGGAGGAGAAGAGGAGAGAGTGGGATGGGGGAGAGGAGAGAGGTTATGGCTGGGGAGGAGAAGAGGAGAGAGTGGGATGGAGGGAGAGAGAGAGAGGTTATGGTGGGGAGGAGAAAGAGGAGAGAGTGGGATGGAGGGAGAGATAGAGAGGTTATGGCTGGGGAGGAGAAGAGGAGAGAGTGGGATGGAGGGAGAGTGTGTGTTGTGTGTTTGTATGCGGCTCTGCAAATCACTGAGAAACATGTACCACACCAGACAGAAACATGTACCACACCAGACAGAAACATGTACCACACCAGACAGAAACATGTACCACACCAGAAAGAAACATGTACCACACCAGACTGACTCCATAACGGTATTCATGAAGCATGAGAGATTTATAATAGAATTCAGATAGTGTGTGAGATGATATTTTACCAGACGCCTGTTGAGTGGGGACAAAATTGGTGTAAATAGACTAGCATTTGCTGCACTGCTGGCTGAGAATAAGATAGAAACAGGGATTCAATTGGCCTTGCTTCGTCAGCCAGAACACACCTTGTTGAGCAGGTGCCATGGACGCTACCAGAGCATCTCAACATGGAACGCATTCAAATGCCAGTTAGAAACAGGATGTAAACAGGATGATTATTCCTTATCCCGCTCTCTGTATGTATATCTGTCTTTCTAAATGTCATCTGGGGAGGATTTAACTTGGCGCACGCCATACATGCGCATGTTTCCCGTTTTAATTTAGACCTGTCATGAATGAGCGTGCGTGAACAAGCATTATAACTGCTGTATAATTTGGAAGTATTGGAATTAGGCCAAGACAGTATCTAAAGGAAATACTGTAGCAATGGCGAACTTGATCAAATGTATTTGGAGGTGTTTGCAGAATTGTTTTATTTTACAGGGACATTTGCTGTATCTGCCCCCTGGGTACACACTGGTTGTATTAACGTTGTTTTCACATAATTTCAATGAAATTACATTGAACCAACGTGGAATAGACGTTGAATTGACATCTTTGCCCAGTTTGTGACCATTTCTAAAAGACAAGTACGATGCCCATGGTCATTTGTTGTATGGATCCTTTCGGAATATGAACTAATCATGGCCAGATAACGTAAGGAATTTATTCTGCAATGGTTATGATATACACTGAGTGTACAAAACATTTAGAACACCTGCTCTTTCCATGACATAGACTGACCAGGTAAATCCAGGTGAATGCTATGATCCCTTATTGATCACTTGTTAAATCCACTTCAATCAGTGTAGATGAAGGGGAGGAGACAGGTTAAAGAAGGATTTTTAAGCCTTGAGAAAATTGACACATGGATTGTGTATTTGTGCCATTCAGAGGGTGAATGGGCAAGACAAAATATTTAAGTGCCTTTGAACGGGGTATGGTAGTAGGTGCCAGGCGCACCGGTTTGTGTCAAGAACTTCAACGCTGCTGGGTTTTTCACTCTCAACAGTGTCCCGTTTGTATCAAGAATGGCCAACCAACTTGACACAACTGTGGGAAGCATTGGAGTCAACATGGGCCAACATCCCTGTGGAACGCTTTCGACACCTTGTAAATGACCCGACGAATTGAGGCTGTTCTGAGGGCAAAAGGGGGGTGTTCCTAATGTTTTGTGCACTCAGTATATATTCACCATTTGCACAAGGCTACTACTAGCCTACTTTTGCCTTCTTGCAATGCAACACTTCAACCCCTAGAAACTGTTTGTACGCATGATCTAATGTTTGCGGGAGGATAAGCACATTCTCACGTCAATTTAAGTTTTTATAAATGCCAACTTTTGAGTGGAAACTGGAGCGTGCATGTTTTAGGGCATGAGGCCCCTGATGTCAGTCACATCTAAAGCTCTCCTCTGTTCCTCCTCTTCCTCCCTCATTCACCCTGATCACACAGTCACCATACAATAAGCAATTAAAACACTTTCTCTCCTCTCCTCTCCTCTCCTCTCCGTGTTAAATAGTATAAAATATTTCAATGGAAACCCCGTCCCCGTTTTCTCTGCTCTGAGTGGTATGCCCGTAAAAGTCTGCATTGATCTATAATATCTTGTTTCCATTGGCACTTTAAAACTGCAACACATTTTTTGCTGGCTCGATTTCTGATCATTTCCTCTAGTTCAGATTGGACCTGAACCGGGGAGTGTCAGAAAGACTGTCTCATTAGGCTAGCAGCCAGGACAGAGTAGAGCAGAGCGAACAGGAAGGATCAGTGGTGATCTCAGTCCATGTATGCATCCCAAATGACACCCTATTACCCTTCATAGTGCACTACTTTTGGCCAGGGCGCATTGGCCCATATAAAGGGAACAGGGTGCAATTAAAGCTCCTTAAGCTTCTATACTTGTCTTGGTCTGGTCTCTATAGGGAGTAACAAGTCACAACACCGTCATCCTCTGGCTAAAGCACTTGATGCGTCTCTATCCCTACCTCTCCCCTGAACTCATCACTCACTCACTCACTCACTCACTCACTCACTCACTCACTCACTCACTCACTCACTCACTCACTCACTCACTCACTCACTCACTCACTCACTCACTCACTCACTCACTCACTCACTCACTCACTCACTCACTCACTCACTCACTCACTCACCCCCACTATGCCTGCTGTCCCTGTGGATTGCCAGAGTTAATAATTGAAATCCTATTTTGCAAGTAGCCTCACACTCACACACCTACACTCGCCTCCCGACACGGGTCAGGTCATGAGCCACGCGACCTTGGCTTGACACAAAGTGTGTGTGTGTGTGAGTCAGACCTTATGAGGCTATTTGAAGCCAATAATCTGCCTGTTGATCCTTAGCCTTCACCCACTCCCAGAGAGCTCATGTGTCCCTCTCTCCCAGGACAACTACCTTATCTGATCTGGGGCAGGGAGGGCGTGCATGTGTGTGGCATGCTTGGGTGCAGGTGTGCGTGGTTGGAGAGTAGACCACAGTGTGACTGATCGTCACACGTGAGGACATTAAGCTAGTGAGGTTGAAGGGGGGTGGACCACAGGAATCTACCACCACAAGGTTGAAGGGGGGTGGACCACAGGAATCTACCACCACAAGGTTGAAGGGGGTGGACCACAGGAATCTACCACCACAAGGTTGAAGGGGGGTGGACCACAGGAATCTACCACCACAAGGTTGCGAGGGGGTGGACCAAAGGACTCTACTGCCATGTCACGTCACAGGGGTGTTCAGGCTCTACCACTTCACAGGATGGGTTGGGCAGGACTCTCCTATGTCACGTCACAGGAGAGGTGGGCAGGACTCTCCTATGTCACGTCACAGGAGAGGTGGGCAGGACTCTCCTATGTCACGTCACAGGAGAGGTGGGCAGGACTCTCCTATGTCACGTCACAGGAGAGGTGGGCAGGATCCAGCCATGGCATTCTATGGGACTCTACCACATAACAGCACGGGGTGACAATCCAGGAATCACCCACCTGCAGCAGTCTCCGGACAATGAATAGGGAGAGAGTGGGCCTGGCGTGAGCGGCCCTGTTTTCTCTGAGTGGGTGGGTGACGAACACTGGTCCCGAAACGAAAACCGGTCCAGATCGCTGTCTTCGTCCATGTAGCAGATGGGGGCTTCTCCGAGGAGAGCTGCTACCCCGCTGCCAGCACCTCTTCCTGGGACTCCAGCCCCTGTCCAAGCCCCGGTCCTTCCCTGGGGGACCTCGAACACCTCGTCATCCCCCAGGAGGTCCTCTGCTCCCCCCAGGGGAGGCTCGCTGGCCCCCATCAGGGCGCTGGAGGATTTGGCGATGTGGAGGTGAGAAGCGTAGCTCCCCAGCTCAGAACACTGCAGACTGGCCGAGGTAGAGGAGCGAGAGAAATGGAGGAAGAGGAGGAGGAGGTTGGAGCTGGGAGGAGGAGGAGGAGGAGGAGGAGGAGGAGGGACGCCGGTAGAGGGAGGTTGGAGGCAGTGTTCGGGGTTGAGGTATTTGTAGTTGTTGGTGAACGAGGGGACGAAGTGAGGGTGTGTGTGGGTGTGTGTGTGCGTGGGGAAGGAAGGAAGGTTTGAGGCCTGATGTGGGAGTGTGGCTGCTTTGCCATTGAGTGCCTTGGACTTCCGGTCCGTGATGGGTGGTTCGGGTTTTACATCCAGCTCTCCTTCAGAACAGGTCCGGTCTATAAAATGCAGTCCACTACAGAGGCTGTCCATGCGCTGGCCCACATCGTTCAGAGAGCGAGAAAACTTCAGTGTTCCGTTGACGGTGGAGGGGCGGAGCAATGAAAACCATTCCGTCCCGAAGCAGACCCCGCCCCGGGGTTTTGGGGGCTTGAAGGCTGGGGGTGCGTCCAGGCAGAGGGTTGTCATCGAGATGCCTCCTCCTGACCTCTGGGAGGTTTTGCCGTTTGAGTTCAATAGAACCACAGCGGTCTGCAAAGGCTTCTGGGAGCCCTGATCTGGAGATGTGGCGGTAAGGCTGTGTGTGAGGGAGTGGAGGGATGAGGGATGGAAGTTGGAGGAGTGGAGGGATGGAGGGGTGAGAGATGGAAGTTGGAGGAGTGGAGGGATGGAGGGGTGAGAGATGGAAGTTGGAGGAGTGGAGAGATGGAGGGGTGAGAGATGGAAGTTGGAGGAGTGGAGAGATGGAGGGATGGACAGGCGGACGATAGCGGAATACCGGTACAGGAGAGAGAAGGAGAAGAGAGACAAGCAGGAGGGAGGAGAGAGGGGTAGAAAAAAGATAAATGAAATGAAACAAAAAGCCAGCATGCATTCAAAGAAAACCAAGAAAACAGGATGGAGAGTTAAAACAGGGAAACTCCCTGACCTTTCACAGGGTGGTTGGTGTAAAGCAGAACACACATTTCAGATTCTCTGTGACAATGGACAATAAAGTATTATTCTTCAGTACAGTGTAGTACTCCTCACTGACAACTCTAGCTCCTATCTATTCCATTCGGCATCAGGCAACACCATCTGTGACCCGTTTTTCACATAATCAACTAACCATGGGTCTGCCAAGCATTGCCCTCAGCAGCCCAATGCAATTGAAGGATGTAAAGCAGCAGATGTCATGGTTGGAGCGTTAAAGGTCAGGGGTTAGAGTTCAAAGGTTATTGTTTAAAGGTGTGTGTACAGTACCTGCAGATGTCCTGGTTGGAGGGGGTGACTGACGTCCGTGAGAAACTGCAGGGGGTGTTGACGGAGGTGGGGCTCCCCGCCTGAGGGAGAGAGCGAGAAACACAAATATAACTCTGATTAGTCTCATTAGCATCACCAGAAAAACAGTAACACTGGGCTGCACATACAGTAAAGAGTAGTGCTGAGTGATTTACCTGCATTTTTTTGTGTGTGTGGGGGGGGGGGGGGGGTATTAAACAACTAATTGACCAATGTCGGTTCAATTACTTGAATTCCATTTAGTTTGGTTTTTTTGTGAGCCCAACGCGCCGTTTCTCTATAGAGAAATCTAATCATTCACGAGATAAATCAAATCAAGAACTATGTGAGACACTGGGCTGAAGGTAGTTGTAATTTTCATTAAGCAAATATTCAACCTAGTTCAGCCCAGAAACGTGTTAATTAACTACAATGACCATAATCCATTGCGCCAGTTTTATCGTCTCAGGCAGAGATGGATAGCTGCACTTTTACGCCTGCTACGTTAGGTTAGATACACACAGACTGCATGAGAGAGGAATGTACACAACACAACGATGAGAGAAAGGGATAGAGACAGTTTGTGAAAGTATGCCAAGCTAAATAGGATGACTAAAGACAGTATGGTATGGGAAGTACAGAGATAACGTTGTCTGGCTGTTTGGCTGCTACTGCCTGAGCAAGCATGAGATGATAACTTCAAGGAATGATAAATAATAAAGTCATCAAATAAAAATTAAGTAATATACGTAACTAAAATATTTTATTATTTCACAGTAATTTTATTTTTTTCTATTGATGTCTACCCAATGTGGACCTGACAGAGACAATATTTTGGCAATTGAATGTTCACTATTTTTGGCATTGGAATTTCCATTTAAAAGCTCTAATCATTTTATTGTCATTATTTCCTAATGCATTTAATGTATAAAAACATTTTTGAAACCGAAATCGAAAAACCGTTATTTATTTTTTTAATAATCGAACTGAACTAGAAAAGCACTAATCGCTCAGCACTAGTAGAGAGAGAGGTGGCCTCTGATTAGCTGTATACATCTTCCTCAGATAGCAAGCCGTTAGTTAGCTAGCAATGATATTTTCTGAGACTACGGAAATATCTCCAACGTTGGATAACTTGCAAATAATATATACACTGAACAAAAATATAAAAGCAACATTTAAAGTGTTGGTCCCATGTTTCATGAGCTGAAAAAAAGTTATCCCATAAATGTTCCATATGCACAAAAAGCTTATTTCTCTCAAATTGTGTGCACAAATTTGTTTAAATCCCTGTTAGTGGGCATTTATCCTTTGTCAAGATAATCCATTCACCTGACTGACAGGTGTGGCATATCAAGAAGCTGATTAAACAGTATGATCATTACACAGGTGCACCTTGTGCTGGGGACAATAAAAGGGCACTCTAAAATGTGCAGTTTTGTCACATAACACAAGTTTTGAGGGAGCGTGCAATTGGCATGCTGACTGCAGGAATGTCCACCAGAGCTGTTGACAGTGAATTTAATGTCCATTTCTCTACCATAAGCTGCCTCCAACGTCGTTTTAGAGAATTTGGCAGTACATCCAACTGGTCTCACAACCGCAGACCACGTGTAACCACACCAGCCCCAGGACCTGCACATCCGCTTCTTCCCGTTGCAGGATCGTCTGAGGATGGGTGGGGTATTTCTGTCTGTAATAAAGCCCTTTTATGGGTAAAAACTCATTCTGATTGGCTGGGCCTGGCTCCCCAGTGGGTGGGCCTGGCTCCCCAGGACCACCCATGGCTGCATCCCTGACCAGTCATGTGAAATCCATGGATTAGGGCCTAATTTATTTATTTGAATAGACTGATTTCCTTATGAACTGTAACTCTGTAAAATCTTTCAAATTGTTGCATGTTGCGTTTATATTTTTGTTCAGTATAATATATGCCATTTAGCAGATGCTTTTTAAGCGTTCAGTTCCACAGAATGCACATTTCTATCCTGCCCGTGCACTCAAGTCACAGCAAGCACCGCCAACGTGCTGCACCCTAAACCGCAGTGCATTGCACACATACCCCTCCTCCCAGACACACACACACACACACACACACACACACACACACACACACACACACACACACACACACACACACACACACACACACACACACACACACACACACACACACACACACACACACACCCAGCCAGCCAGCCAGCCAGCCAGCCAGCCAGCCAGCCAGCCAGCCCACTGTATCATATCATCACTAATGGCACTGACCGATAGTTTATAGTGTTGTAGGCTAAATGTCAAGTTTTGGTTCCAACAGGTCATTGCTGTAGCCTACAGAAAATCTAATCTTAGTTGTCAAAAAGTTATATGATAAAGTATTCACAAGCGTGTATAAATGACTATTAAAGGACAATAGGACACATAACTATAAATGAGTCAACAGTTGAGTCAGCTACTTTATGAAATTACAGCTACTTTATGAAATTACAGCTACTTTATGAAATTACAGCCTGATGCGCTCGCATCGGTGAATTGAATGTCAATTGCTCTGCTTTAGTGTGTCCCATTTACAGCTCGAGGCAGAGGGAAAGTGTACAGACACATGCCACAGTTCTAGCTAGTCTACTAAAATGTTGCAGTCTGGCTTCGGGTTTTAAAGCTTGACAATGAATAACCTACCAAAAAAAAAAAATTCAACCTAAAATGTTAGAAAAAAACACTCAGAGAACCAATTTGAATACTAAACTACTTCTACAGATAGTCATATTTTCAGTTGGTTCAGGTTATTAAATTGTCTGTTAACTTAAAGGTTGAACATGAGGAAAGTGTTAAAACTATTTCCATAGACTCAATGGAGTACTTCAGTCCTGCCCGCTAGCCTGGATTTTAAAGATCATGTTCATGGCGTGAATAAGCTCTCTATTCCTCATTAAGACACACATTAGCAGCACTGGTGTGGTAGTAACAAATGGGATCAGAACTCCTTTCTCATACTCAGTGGTAGTAGAGGTGTGATGTAATATCCAGTGTCCCAGTAGAGAATAGAAGCTCTGCTATCAGAAGCCTACCGGACCACAGTCACTGTGTTTTAGCCTCTACTATGCACCACCCACTAATTACCTATTGATTCAATCTGTAACTTAGGGGCAATTCATAGCTCAGGGGCTGACGAGATCAATAAAGAACTCAATGTCCATCTCTGTCCTTCACCCTGTCTCTCGCTGTGTCTGTGTCTGTTGGTGTCCCTGTTGGTCTCCGTCTCCCTCTCCGTCTCCCTCTCCGTCTCCCTCTCCGTCTCCGTCTCCCTCTCCCTGTCCCTCTCCCTGTCCCTCTCCCTCTCCCTCTCCCTGTCCCTCTCCCTCTCCCTCTCCGTCTCCCTCTCCGTCTCCGTCTCCGTCTCCGTCTCCCTCTCCCTGTCCCTCTCCCTGTCCCTCTCCCTTTTTCACACACTATATAAACACATACAGGAAGGAAAAGAGTAGCACGTTCCAGGAGTGTGAGAGGATCAAAACAGAGGCGCTGTCTTTACAATCAAACAGACAAGACTATATTTAACCGTGGAAGGAGAACATTTACAGTCTTTAAACACCAGCAAGAGACAGACGGGAGTAATGAGGATGTTCATTTGTTAGCTGTATAACTAATCAGACATAGAGTCAAATGGGATTTCTATAAATGCTTGACAATCCCAGAATGATTTACGGATACTAAACATATGTATTGCTCCTCTCCCTCTCTCTCTCTCACTGATCCCCCTCTCCCCTCATCTCACCCATCTCTCCATCGCTTCTCTATACCCCTCTCTCTGTCTGGATGGAGAATTGTAGAGACTAAGAAGAATAAAGCTAGAAGGAACTCCCAGAGTATTTAATATGAACATGATGTCCACAGAGACAGAAATAGAATGAAGATCCAGAGACAACAAGATTTGTTTCTATTAAAGGTAAATCCAATCATTTTCTGCCCATCTGTCAATCTGTCCGACCACAAGCTCAGATCAGAATGGAACAGGCATTGATGATCAGGGGCTATAAACTGTACTAACATTTATGCAATGTACTTTTTATTGTATGTGGTATCCAGTATCATCAGACTTTCTGTATGAAGTGGGTGATGAAATAAACAGAAAAACTTTAACTTGGCCACATAGACAAAGTTAGAAGCTTCTATCCAAAGCGACTTAAAGTACAATGAATGCATACATTTTTCAGAATGTGTATGTGATCCCTGCGGGAATTGAACCCACATTCGTGGCAAGTTCTAACAGAGTCTGTTAATGTGTATCCGAACAAACACACCATTTACCAGTCCTGGCATTATCCTCATACCTCAAACACATCTCTATCTAACCCTCTGCTCTTCTCTGTTTGCACAGCCAACATATCCTTGTTCTTTACGTTTCAGGTATTTCTCCTCAATGAACTAAATGAGGTAATCTCAATGGTACGAGTCTTACTGAGGCCTAAGACCAAAACAAATAACTCAGGCTTGGCGCGACCAAGAAGAGGCAGACTCAATCCAACCTAGTTACCATGACACTTACCACAATAACAACTAGAAGATGGCAGCGTGTGCTACTGAGAGCAGATTTCAATCAAAAAAATTCATCCTACTGCCAATAAGAGCGAGGAAAATCTACTAGCTAAGACGCAGATGGCCTACATGTGAGTTACAGTGAGGGAAAAAATATTTGATCCCCTGCTGATTTTGTACGTTCGCCCACTGACAAAGAAATGATCAGTCTATAATTTTAATGGTAGGTTTATTTGAACAGAGAGACAGAATAACAACAAAAAAATCCAGAAAAACGCATGTCAAAAATGTTATAAATTGATTTGCATTTTAATGAGGGAAATAAGTATTTGACCCCTCTGCAAAACATGACTTAGTACTTGGTGGCAAAACCCTTGTTGGCAATCACAGAGGTCAGACGTTTCTTGTAGTTGGCCACCAGCTTTGCACACATCTCAGGAGGAATTTTGTCCCACTCCTCTTTGCAGATCTTCTCCAAGTCATTAAGGTTTCGAGGCTGACGTTTGGCAACTCGAACCTTCAGCTCCCTCCATAGATTTTCTATGGGATTAGGGTCTGGAGACTAGCTAGGCCACTCCAGGACCTTAATGTACTACTTCTTGAGCCACTCCTTTGTTGCCTTGGCCGTGTGTTTTGGGTCATTGTCATGCTGGAATACCCATCCATGACCCATTTTCAATGCCCTGGCTGAGGGAAGGAGGTTTTCACCCAATATTTGATGGTACATGGCCCCGTCCATCATCCCTTTAATGCTGTGAAGTTGTCCTGTCCCCTTAGCAGAAAAACACCCCCAAAGCATAATGTTTCCACCTCCATGTTTGACGGTGGGGATGGTGTTCTTGCAAAGTTCTAGGCAGCATTCCTCCTCCTCCAAACACGGCGAGTTGAGTTGATGCCAAAGACCTCCATTTTGGTCTCATCTGACCACAACACTTTCACCCAGTTCTCCTCTGAATCATTCAGATGTTCATTGGCAAACTTCAGACGGGCATGTTTATGTGCTTTCTTGAACATGGGGACCTTGCGGGCGCTGCAGGATTTCAGTCCTTCACGGCGTAGTGTGTTACCAATTGTTTTCTTGGTGACTATGGTCCCAGCTGCCTTGAGATCATTGAAAAGATCCTCCCGTGTAGTTCTGGGCTGATTCCTCACCATTCTCATGATCATTGCAACTCCACGAGGTGAGATCTTGCATGGAGCCCAGGCCGAGGGAGATTGACAGGTCTTTTGTGTTTCTTCCATTTGCGAATAATCGCACCAACTGTTGTCACCTTCTCACCAAGCTGCTTGGCGATGGTCTTGTAGCCCATTCCAGCCTTGTGTAGGTCTACATTCTTGTCCCTGACATCCTTGGAGAGCTCTTTGGTCTTGGCCATGGTGGAGAGTTTGGAATCCGATTGATTGATTGCTTCTGTGGACAGGTGTCTTTTATACAGGTAACAAGCTGAGATTAGGAGCACTCCCTTTAAGAGTGTGCTCCTAATCTCAGATCGTTACCTGTATAAAAGACACCTGGGAGCCAGAAATCTTTCTGATTGAGAGGGGGTCAAATCCTTATTTCCCTAATTAAAATGCAAATCAATTTATAACATTTTTGACATGCGTTTTTCTGGATTTTGTTGTTGTTATTCTGTCTCTCACTGTTCAAATAAACCTACCATAAAAATTATAGACTGATCATTTCTTTGTCAGTGGGCAAATGTACAAAATCAGCAGGGGATCAAATACTTTTTTCCCTCACTGTATATTGGTAGGACTGTGGCAATTGTATAGCAGTACAAAGCAAATAGTTTATGGTCGCTTCCTCACGGTCTAACAAAGGTGAAGGAATTGAAAAAAAATGGAATGTACAAGACAAGAGGCTCATTCAGCCACATAGGAACATGAAAGGTCAATAGAAAGTCATTCATTATAATTAAAACAAGTGGTTTATGCAGTTGTATGGCAGCACAAAATAAATAGTATACCGTAGGGTGTCTTTTGACCAATGGGTAAAATAATATGTTATAAGTGTCTACATTTACATTTACATTTACGTCATTTAGCAGACGCTCTTATCCAGAGCGACTTACAGTTAGTGCATACATTATTCTTTTTTATTTTCATACTGGCCCCCCGTGGGAATCGAACCCACAACTCTGGCGTTGCAAACGCCATGCTCTACCAACTGAGCTACCTCCCTGCCGGCCATTCCCTCCCCTACCCTGGACAACGCTGGGCCAATTGTGCGCCGCCCCATTGGTCTCCCGGTTGCGGCCGGCTACAGCAGAGCCTGGATTCGAACCAGGATCTCTAGTGGCACAGTGCCTTAGACATTCATCTAAGAAAACCAACGGTCCAAACCTCATGTCTCTATCATAATCTGTTCAAAACCTATTAGAGTTTATACCCTTGTAGGATGGTCAGAATTAGGGTGACTAAATCAATGGAGGCCAGAGGAAAAAAGTGGTCATAAATCTAGAAAATTCCATCTCGTCAGCTAGTCTGGATGCTGTGCAAGAATTGAGGCCACTGGCTACTTGACAGGCTCACTTTCCCGTTGAACTCATCATCTTTCTTCTTGAATCCGCAGGACATAAAACAATAATAGAGGTATATACAGTATATCGATTTTGAGACATGACATGTAGTATTTTCATATTTGAGTAGATTTCTCACAAAAACAAGCATATCTCTGTGAAATGTCAATGGAGCACTGAGCATATACCAAGCTTTTTAATTTCAAAGCCTTTTACATTTAATTCAGCAAATGTTGCTTTTTGTGACCCGCAGAAACAACTTTGACGATGACCACCACAAAATGTTACATTCTCAAAGGTTGTTACGAGAAACATGCACCTTTATGTCAACAGAGCTCGGTGCTTATTATCGGATGCATTAGGATACGAAATCCAACTTTTTGGATACAATTTTTATGATATGTTAGAGAAAGACCCCACTGAATGATTCAGGACATGAATAGTCATATTTGTCTTGGTAAAATGTATTTTATAATATAAGGAAGTGAAATTTCATCACCAACACGCGTTTCCACCCACTCTAGGCAGACACCTTATATCAGGGACCATCAACTAGATTCAGCCACGGGACGATTTTTTCGTGAATGGTCAGGGGGCCAGAACATAATTACAAATAATTGGTATACTGCAAATTGACTGCACTAAGATATATTATTTGACCTAAACAATTTCAAACCTTGCTTACATTTATATGCGCTCACATATATATCTCTATTATGCGTGGGAATCCTTTGGAACAGATTTCCAAAATTAAATCACTTATTTTTTACAGTCTTTTATGTCCAACAATTAAAACAATTATATATTTTTGTATATATTTTTGCTCAGAAAACTTGGGGGGCCAAATAAGATCACAGCCAGTTGGGGAACCGTGCCCTATATAGTGCTGGAGTGCAGTGCACTCCAAACCAAACAGTGAGAGTGTGAACGAGCTGTCAGCATTGTTGAGAAAACGAGAGACAGTGATGCAGGCCTAAACAGCAGCAAACTCCCGCAAACAACAGCAACTACGGCAAACTATAACAAACCATAAGAAATTACCCAAAACTACAGCAGTGTCTCCCAAACTAAAGCAGTGTCTCCCAAACTGCAGGAGTGTCTCCCAAACTAAAGCAGTGTCTCCCAAACTAAAGCAGTGTCTCCCAAACTAAAGCAGTGTCTCCCAAACTAAAGCAGTGTCTCCCAAACTAAAGCAGTGTCTCCCAAGCTGAAGCAGTGTCTCCCAAACTGAAGCAGTGTCTCCCAAACTGAAGCAGTGTCTCCCAAACTGCAGGAGTGTCTCCCAAACTGCAGGAGTGTCTCCCAAACTGAAGCAGTGTCTCCCAAACTGAAGCAGTGTCTCCCAAAATGCAGCAGTCTCTCCCAAACTACAGCAGTGTCTCCCAAACTGCAGCAGTGTCTCCCAAACTGCAGCAGTGTCTCCCAAACTGAAGCAGTGTCTCCCAAAATGCAAGAGTGTCTCCCAAAATGCAAGAGTGTCTCCCAAAATGCAGCAGTGTCTCCCAAACTACAGCAGTGTCTCCCAAACTGCAGCAGTGTCTCCCAAACTGCAGCAGTGTCTCCCAAACTGCAGCAGTGTCTCCCAAACTGAAGCAGTGTCTCCCAAAATGCAAGAGTGTCTCCCAAAATGCAGCAGTCTCTCCCAAACTACAGCAGTGTCTCCCAAACTGCAGCAGTGTCTCCCAAACTAAAGCAGTGTCTCCCAAACTGCAGGAGTGTCTCCC